TATTCATTCGCTTACAGTCAGCTGTTTACTGTGTGCAAGTGTCTGTCTTAGCTCGTGAACTAACTTCTATCGTTTTTATGTTAATCTATTTCACAGCCTTTTTGTGGGACTAGAAAATTCGCCGTTGAATATTTAAACAATCGACTTTGTCGATGACTAACACTGAGCACTTTCTTCAAGGGTTTACGGCGATGCATCTAAAGGCTCATTATTCATTTTATTCATTATTGTTATTACTAAAAGGATTAGAGTGTAAATAGGATTTTAATTGAAATCGGAACTACTATTGGGTCGTTTTTTTTATTTTAAATTGTAAATAGTTATTATTATTATTATTACTAGTACTATTATTATTATTATTATTATTATTATTATTATTATTATTATTATTATTATTTAGAACTGTGGCCATAAAGGGGATTTGCAGGGCATTAAGTGCTGGAAACAGGGTGAAACTAGAACGGCTTCGTTCATTTCATTGATAGTTGGTTGTAGTTTATTGAGCCAATAATATAGCAGCGATCCTTACATAAACAGTTGCCATCGCAGTTGAAGTCAGATTTAAATAAGCTGCATTGTTGCTCGATAATAACAGTCCTAGATATCAAGGAAGACATTGATCACGCGTCTGAGCTGACCGAGACAAATTCCTGGTTATACAAAGCCTCGGCGTAGACATCACATACATTGTCTAGTTCATGACCAACTTCTTGTAAAGCTTCTTCTAACAACTCCTCACTTATCCTGCAATAGATCAAGTGCAGCAAACGAGTTAGTCTAGATAAACACATTACAGCCGAACCTCTTCTCTCTGTCCACCTTATGGAAAGAGGGAAGAGGCTCTCGTAAAGAAAGCCTCCTGAAGGGAATAAAAACTGCTCTCTGAAAAGAACTAGTAGGGTTGAACTCTTTCAATACAAAAAGAAAGATAAAGACAGTTTGTGTGAGCCTGGGACCTAATCAAAGTGTATAAATAAGAGAAAATGAAAAGCTTATTTTCAGATGAAACATTTTAACAAACTACAAAGCGAATGAAGTACAGTGAATACATCAGCTTAGGCGACCTTTCCTTTGGGCATTGAACATAAATGACATCCTCATTAGCCTAATAAAGCTGACGAAAGTTATTCGCACAAGCAAGTTGTCAGTCATTTTACTACAGCAGTCGTCAGTGATTCAGTGGCCTTCCTGGAGAGGTTACTTTAGGAGCTGGGACGCGGTTTAGTGTCTGTTACCGCTGTTCCATTAGTGGAAGTTCGACTGTAATGCACGAAATGATCGACTGCTTTGTTTATAGAACTTTGTTTCTAGGCATATTTTGCTTCGTTCAATTCTTCCTCCCAACGCAGATTATCATGGCTTTCAGATGCACGAGTTTCAGGTAGATTAACCCTTTAACACTATACTCCCTAACATTAATATGCATATTCTCCATACTGTTCTCTTTACACTTCCTAAGATTCTGACAAGGAGAATTTGTTGAACAATCACGAGCTTCTTCAGGTAGTGATCATTTCCAGACCTGTATTCTTGTGGCCTTCCTGTCTGATTCAGGGGTGATATTAGATGCTAGTCACTCTAAGATCTGATTGTTAATTCTACCGCTAGCTGCTATACATTTTCCTGTAAATTAGTTGGGAGAATTTGCTGCTAGATCAAGATAGCACCTTCTACCTAACTTTTATTCTTCTCATTACCTGTTTGCTGAATAAAGTATGGATATCAAAGGGAGAATTAACATGTTAATCACTTCTGGGATTTAAAGGGTTAAGACTGATCGTTGATGTTCTCCCCATTAAACAGCCACAAAACAACATTGCTGGTTACGTTAACTATACATCTGGTTTCCAATAGACCACAGTTAAGAACCAATCAGACTGCTTGAAGAGTTGACAAGCTGTTACACAAACATACCTGTTTACCAGTCCCCACGGGTCAAACGTTCCTTCTTCGTGAGTAGAAGTGTCCTGAAGATATTTGTTGAATCGGTTCCTATAAGACACTATACTAGCTCTCATTTCCTTTGGCACACTTAGGAACACTGTAGGTTGGGTGCCAGAAGTGAGGGGTCGACTTTGTGGGGCTGAGCTATTTTGAGATCTTTTGTAAATGGAACTTTGAGCGAAGGAGCGTTCTCCAGATGAAGAATATAAAAAAGGACAAAATTAACAGTGCACCTTTACCAACATTTCATCAACCTAAAAAACAATACTTCAATGGCAGACCATGTCCAACCTTCCATTAGGGAGGAAAAGCTACTGGTTGCACTAATTTCATTCAACAGTCTGAATGGCTCGCTGACACCTGGTCTATCGTCGTCGGGAGGTGCTCGGGCGTTTCCCGGTAACAGTCGGTGGCTTTCGGTTTCCACAGCCCTGGTGAACATGATTGGTTTAGGATCCTTAGCTGGTTGAGTGCTTTTCCCTGTTAATAAAAGGACAACGAGAAAGTGATGTAAACCTATGAAGCAATTTTCAATCGAGTACCAAAACTAGTCCGCCACTGCTTTAGTTTTGCTTTACTTCGCCTTGTATTGGTCCAGGGGCACATTTCTCGACAGTTCAGTACCTTTACGGGACACAAGAAATGTTTCTAAATCTAACTCCGAGGAATAATAGCGAGGGTCTTGGCTAAAAAAAAAGAGTTCTTTTTGTTTCAAGTCCTGATATTTTATCGTTTGTATTTCAAGATTGACAAAATCCCTATCTTGAATCAAACACAGCGAAACAAAAATGAGATTTTCGGGCGCGCAGTTAACGGATCTTCCGAGAAACGGATCCCAGAAAACTCGCGCGGCTTTCTCAACCTATCAGATTAAGAAATACCGCGGTAATTATTTACGACTGAGTCAGTGGCGTTTTCCCGCGCATCAACCAGTTTGCTTGCAATTACTTTGAATTCTTATTGGCTCTCTATGATATTTCCATTGTTCTGATTGGCTGTTGTGATTACTTGTCAGAGACTGGGCCCGAATTGTGTGCAGTGATGCATGTCGCCTTGAGCGTGTTTTTTCATATAGAGAAAGTGTGAGAGAATAAAACGAAACGGTTGTGTTTATTGAAAGAACACCTGAGATTTTGACTTCGGGGTAATAAACTTCTACTGTCACGGAGGCTTTCCCAAAATACTTTGGTTTTGGTTTTACAACACTAAATCGAAATGCGCTCAAAGCTGGTTCGATTCACCACATAAACACTGCAGAACACGTTATGATCATCTTTTGACATGACAGGTTACCACGGCAACGGTAAAACCAGCCCAACATACCCTAAATTTCTTCTTCAATGTCAATAACTCAGGAGTAAGATGAGTAACCCACATGGTTATTGCTAAATAAGGCAGCCATAACAAATAAATGCGCACATACCAGTGGGGAGATTTTCAGTTGATTTTTCAACATCTGCATAATTCACTTGGACCCAGTGTTGTCTTATTTCCTCTTCGGCTTTCTGCAACCAAGGCAGTGTTGTTAATTAAAATGTCACTTTCCATTTCAAACAAAACAGAACCAACGAATTGTTTAAGCAGGACAACCAATGAAACTTCACCGTGCATATTCTGTGGCTACAACTTAACCATATAAATCATTTGGATATATCAACAAAGTTGAAATGGTAAATTGGCCACCGTAACGGTTACAAAAGCTGACGTTTCGAGCGTTAGCCCTTCCTCGGAGCGATATAAATCATGCACGTTGTTGACTACTACATCGCCTTAGTTGAGCATTGCTACATTACACTAAATCTTTCTCTGAATGGCTATGCTACATAAACCACTCCTATGCACAACGATAGAGCTCTCTAATACTGCTAGCATAGTGGTGCACTTTTTAGATTACTAATCGAGGCTGGAATCCTAAAATGACTAACATGCGTTCACATCCTTAGAACTTCGCGGTGTCGACGAACTCCAGTTCATTACTGTATAAGCAAGATTTGATGATTTCATACATGCGGGTCTCACACGTTTCAACCGATTGGAGCAATTACTTTACTATCAGCCAATCACAGGGAAAAATAACAGCAATACCACTTTGCCAAAGAAAGTTCCCAATCGCGCTCCAAGCTTTTGTTATTCCAATTTTAGAGAACACAACAGAGACCCTGTGCTACACGCGGAGTTAGAGGGAAAAAATACTGATCACAACAGGCTTATTTATTAAACTGGAAAAAAAAACACAAATCTTTCTCTGGTAATACTTCTTGTTGCATGAAAGCACCCATGAACCAGCGAGCAGAACTGATAAGATCAAAATATTGTATCGCGACAATCGTTTTTCAAGTACCTCGAAACTCTGAAGTCTCTGAAGAATATTTTCTAAGGTAGAACTGTTTTGTAAATTATCGGCTTGCCTTTGAACGTCATCTTCTAACTCTAATCTGTAAAGCAGAGATAAGAAAACGTTTTCATTTCCGCGTTTTAAAAAAAACCTGCACGCTCTACGTGTCTAAGGGGAAGGGAGAGCGAGGGGAACCTAGGGGAAAGGGCGACATCAACAAAAACGATTATTTCACGTCAAACGGATTCTGGGTCTGAGAACCGTAAAATTTGGAGAATAAATTAAAACATTTGGTAATAAGATGTAATGTTTTGCGATGAAAAAAGCGCCGAGACTTGGAAGGCCAGGAAGCACGAAGCAAGCGCGGAACGCGAGAACAGACTACCTCCCTGGCGTTCAAGTTGGCTAAGTCCCCACCGAAATTGTTTCGCCCACACTCTGGAGATGATCTAAAAGAAAATAGGCCTTTAAACAGACCAGCTACACTCTTTCAAAACAATTTCAAGAAGAAGGTGCCTTGCCATCTTGAGAGAGCTCACAGAGAGCAAAATAGAACGCATCCAGCCACTAACCTTTGCATTTCAAGAACTGTATCCTCTAAAATGTCATCGAGAACTTTTTCGGCCAAGACATCAGCTTGGTTCAGAGTCTGCCGAGAAAGCAAAAGCTTTAACTCTCTTCAAATCACCCAGAGTAAAAAAGAGATCACTTATAATCACGTTTGTTAAAAGGACAGATGACACTACTGCCTTCAAATCAATTATCCATCGTTTGAGCAGCTGGGGCCTTAGGTTGTGTTTGTGCACTTACTGTCTGCGAGGCAAGTTTCCCAAGCTGATGCTGTAACGATTTCTTTTGTCCTGCTTCTCTCTTCGCCTCTGTCTCCGCTATCGCCTGTACATAGGAGCAAACAAATTTACCTTAACAACAAGTCTGTTTACTGCTCAGTGCTGTGTCGTGTAGTAGAAATTACTTTATTGACTATTTATAACTAAAATGATAAGAATAAATCCTTTTGCATATTAGAATCAGTTTTGAACTATTCCATTCTTAATTACAGTAAGTTTTAGTCATCTTAATCCCTATATAGTGACATTTGCAGTTGTACATGTTATATTTTTCATGCCAAACCTAGTTGTTATACATATATGATACAATTTTGTTTCTGTATGCGTTAAGACTCTTTTATATTAGCTCGTACGTATTTTGAACGAGCTTTCTAGCTCACTACACACTACGTGGGTAAATAAACGATTGAGTGAATGATTGAAAATGATAAGAAAGGACCGTAAGGTGTCCTGGAATAAGTACGAGTACGTTGTCCAAGTAGTGCGTACCAGACAACTCATTCTCATATTGTGCATTTTAACGCCTTTGTATCACTGACGGTGTTTCTTGTTTCTCTTTTGTTCTCTATTGACGAACGATTTTCACTTTTAGTCTCCGAGCAGTCTCTCACTTTCGGCGAGTCAAAAAATTTCAGCGAAAAAAAAATTGTCATTAGCGCGCCGCACGGAGTTCTGGGAGTTCTTTTCGTGCGCCTCACTCCCAGAGTTCTGCGCGGCGCTCTAAGATAAGTTCTTTTTTGCGCTGAACATTTTTGATTCGCGCGACGGCATCGGACGGAATGCGTGGACGTCAATAATTATTCATAAACGATAAAGCGGCAAATTTGAACGCGACCTTGATTTGAAGAGCCGGAAAGGAACATCTTTACTTCTTTGAACAACGTAAATAATTATAGATCTGCTGTTCCACGATCAAAATTGGAAGATACATATAAACTCTTTCTAATACCTCTGCTCGATCCAGTAGCGGTTTCAGTCGAGATCTAATGGCGTCTTCTGTCTCAGATATCAATCGCTTTGGAAGTAAAACATCTGGACTGAAATATGGGAAAAAGAACGAACTTAGAGGCAATCAACAAGTGACCAAAACATATGAAACGCCTTCAAGTTTGAAAAGCAAGTTATGGAGGGAGCTTACGATTTCCGGGAGGGGAGGGTGACGATGACACCCGAAATGAGGGAGAATGACACCCAGAGTGGGTTCTATCACATACACGTAGGCTTCTTGGCAAAAAGTAAAGGAAAGACAATAAGGTGGAGTTGGTTGGATCAATCCTCAACTTATAAAAAAAAAAACATACCTTCTTCGATGTCGTTGCATAACCTCAAGTCTTCGCTCTCGTTCCAAATCACGTATCTAATTCATCAAGAAAAAAACCATTTGAAAGAAAAAGGTAATAATAATGGTCTGGAAAGGAGCTAAAAGAACGCTTTTCATTCCACTAATTTATTCGTGTTTTTCTCGTCACCAATTGTCCCCATCAATAGCGTAGCTCCACTTTCTGCATATAAACCCACACACGACCCACAATTCCTCCATTCGCTCTGACGGAGGGCTAACACTAGAAACGTCAGCTTTTTAACTTTTTTTTTAAAATTTACAATTTCAACTTAGTTAACCGAATTACCTTGTTATCCCCACCGACGCAGCACCACAGTTTCTTTAGAAACTTTCACCCTTTATTCATTTAGCTAAAAAAACAACCCGGAAGGTACTAAATATTCTGGGGCTGCCATACTACCGTTATGAAATTCGTAAATCACCTGGTATAAATTATTACAGTTTTAGCGTAAAAGTGAATTTTACCCTTCGTTCTGCCTCTTCGTCAAGCCATCTTTGCCTGAGAATAAAAGTTACTTACAGTTACGGGAAGAAAATTAAAAAATCGTTTATGCACATCTGACTACCCTACGTCTAAACGTATGAAATGCGTCTGCGAAGTTATCGTATACGCGAGTGGTATTGTATGTCACACTGTACACCAGGCCTTCACTGTCAAGACTTTTTATCAAGAAAGCAACATGCATCCTAAAGGCCTTCAGCTCCTGATAGGATTCACTCACCTGGCCACCTCTCTTTCTATCAGCTCCAAGTCAGTTGGAAGAATTCTGCGAGCATACTTTGGACTTCTTGGACTTTGGAGCTTCTAAAAAGATATGAAGAAAACCGAGTGATTAACTGTGAGGAAAAGGAAAAGTTCAAATCCTTCGTTTTGTTCCTATATATTTGTTTATCTAAGACTACAAATGTTACAACTAGACTGGGTTATCAAAATGACAAACGAACTGAAAACAATTGGGAGAAATTTTTGAAAAATATATCATATAACACTCTACTTTGTGGTATTCATAAATTTCCAGTTCAAATTACTCTGACACAATTTTAAATCACGAAACAAAGCAAACATCACCTATCCATTTTTGGTCAATTTTTATCATACCAAGAGGGCATTTATCTTGACTTCACCTCACTGTTTCATTTTTGCCTTTATGTGTATAGTAAAGCATGCCTCTATGCGTTGACAACAAACCTGAGTTTCACATTGCCTTCTGTGTGACCTAGGAGACAGACTGTGTAAACCTTGATAATGCACTCTCTCAGGAGTATGAGGGCCTTCCCATGTAGGTGCCCTGGGTGGTGTCCTAGTTTGGGCCACTGGCTGATGCCCCACTACTGGAGGAGCCTTTTTCAAAATGGAGGCAACAGTTCCTTTGGCAAAGTGAGCTTGATCTACATCATGATGCAGTTTAACTCTTTTGGCTGTCTGAAAGGCTTTCTGACGCTGAAGCTGAAGCAATTGTTCATAGAAAGTAGATGTTAACTCAATAATTTGGTGATGGCATGGTGAATCTAGCAATTGCACACTGAGTTACGGCACATTATTTGTATTTTGGCCCTACAGCCTCAGCAACATGAATAGATGAGAATTTCAAGTGGGTGTGAAGAAAGATCCAGATCCTAACTAGTGTGCTTCACACTCATTTGAACTTCTTTCCCTGATCCCTCCCCCCCCATCCCACCCCAACTACCGCTGCAGGTCAAAGAAGAACTTGGTTTGAGTATGGTCACAAACCTTTAGTTTAGCAGGTAACAACAATGATTTCTTTGAAGCCTGTTTGACTGGTTTTTCCACTTGAACAGCAGGTCTTGGTTGAAACTTTGGTTTTACCTTAAGAAAATGTTGTTATAATCTCAAACTTTCTAAATTTTGCAAACCTTAATATAAACTATCAAAAACAAAATATTATCATAGTCATGTATGAAAATCACAAAATACTGAATATTTTTAAAATACTACCTAAAATACAATGAAAAATATTTTACCAAAGAAAATAGAATGAACATACCACAGGTGTCTGAACTGGAGTGTCCTTCACTCTCAGGAGTGCAGAAAGCCCGGCTTGCAGAACAGCATCTCTTTCAGGGGTGGGGTCAGGAGAACTTGTCACAACTGACAAAGAAAACCAAAGTGCAGATAAACAATGTTACTATTAGGTTTTGATGTGACAAGCAGGTCCCACACATTCCATTTGAGTCCTGGCCAAATACCAGTTATGAATGAAAATGACAGAATCTATCAAAAGAATGAATCAAATAGATTGCCACAAAGATGCTTATTACTGTCTTCAAAACCTTGTTTTGGAGGAGATCTTGGTTTGATTGTTCCCCAAGGCTTTCTGTCAGCTACTTCCTGGATAAATGCACTGGCTTTTTCTGGAGTTTTGTAAATTGCTCTTGACACAACCTCTTCTTTGCCAGGCTCATCCTGGTCAATAAAAAGTGGAATAACTATATAAGACACTGAAAAAATATCAAATGAATAATTTGCTGCGGCAATAATGTTAAAAATCAATGTAGTTTCTATTTCATTGACACCAAGCTGAGGATTACTCTTGTTTGACTAAACCGGCTGTACCACATATAAAACTGTCACAATACTTTGAGCTTTGATCCATGTCTCTCTTCAGTTTCGAGGATCATGTTTCCAGTGAAGACTGTCTACTTACTTTTGAGTGGAACTGAACCTTTTCATCGTGATCTTTTTCTCTCTTTGCCTCACCAGAGAAATCTTCCCCATTAATGTGCAACTGCGCTGCCAAAAGTGACAACTGTCTGATGAGGGCAGACAGTTCTTGGTACATTGGTGGCAAGCCATGGCCAACCTTGGGCTGGAGAGGGGCCTGGCTGACAAATGTCTGCAATGCTCTTACTGCTCCCCTATGTGCTGCTGCCAAGCGGCTAAGGGTCTGGCTCTGAGATCCAGCACAAGATTGTAGAGAAAAAAATAAATCTAAGATACTGACGATAAACTGAGTAAATATACTTAGTATTAGTGAGAATGCAAAGACTTGATCTTAACAGTTATACAAACTGCTAACAATTCACCTTGTGCTACAATGTATAACTCACCAATAATGTACCATTATGTGTGTGGAATTAACCCTTTCACTTTCAAGATCTCATTAACAATTCTATTTACTGTCTGCCATACGGATCTTATGATGTTAGTTTGGAGAATTTGGTATTGGATCAACTGATAATCCCTTGATTTCTTTTTTTCCTGATTCTCATCACTTGTCTGCTAGATATTGTACTGATATTGTAAGGAGAAATTCTGTCTTAGTCGCTCATGGGAGTTAGACGGTTAATTCTAGAATCATTGATAAAACTTTTAGAATGAATAGTTATGAATTATTTATTTCTATTAAATAATATTCATTCCAAATGTTCAGTAGCAAATGAACCTGTTGTTGGTGAATTAGGAAAAACAAATTCCTACAAATTCTTGCCTTTTTTGTATGCTTTATCCCTCTTTTCTTCTTGTTTAACTCATCTTCAATTTCACACACCTTGAAGAAAAAGTTTTCAAGTAATATATATCGTTCAGTATGGATATCCTAACCTTGTATGAAGATGTCTGTAGTTGGAGGTTAATCCCAGGTTTTAAAGTAAGAAGTAAGTATAAGAATGAGTCTCTCCACTCCTGGTAGGTGGATGCTAGTCCATCACAGATAATCCTCCCCCCCCCATCCCACCCCATCCCACCCCACCCCAATATTTTGTCAAATTTTTCCGGACAGTTCACATATATCCATTTTTACTTCTAGTTAGAGAGAGGCATGGTGAGAATAAAGAGTTTTCCCTAATAACATAACAGAATGACCTGATCAGAACTCAAGCCTACAGTTTTAGAGCTCTTGTACTGCAGTTCAACCCACCAACCATTAGGCCAGCACCATGGTGAAGGAGTGGAGTGATTTGGCTCAGGTAACTACTCCTGTGATCAATTTTTTTCAAGAGTATCCACGCTGAGTGACTAGGGTAAATTATATTTTGTAACTTTTAACTTCTCACTGGAATCTTTCTTCATTTTAAGCCCAAGGATGATTTTTTCTGCAACCACCCAGACCAAAAGTATTCCCTCTCATGGAGACTTATTTTTTTTCCCCACAAAAAATTTTCCCAGTTGGGCTAAGGGAGAAAAAGAGTTTCACTCAATAGGGATGACCTTGAAGGCTGAGCAACAAATTAAATGTAATGGTAATTCTTAGGACAGAAGATATTTTTGGCGAGGAAGATTGTGACTTTCCAGAACGCAGCTGTTTAGAGGACAACTGATCTCTTTGAAACACTCACTCCCTTCCAAATCTTCCCCTAATTAAGGATGTACCCATACATTACCTGTCTCTGAAGTACATAAAGCATCCTTGCTGATCTGGCGGCTTGTTCTTCGGCCCTCACTACTTGCCGCTCATCTACATCTTCATCTCCAAGCCTTCCTTCACCCTCTTTCCTTTTCTTTAACCTTTTGTCTTTGTTCTTCAAGATTTGTGGTCTTTCATCTTTCAAACTTTCCATTTGTTTCATATATTGATGGAGCTCCTTTCGGAGTTTTCTGATTTCATTAGCTTGTGTCCTTTCCCCATCTGATTCATATTCATCATCTTCCCTTGCAGCTGGATAAAAGTACATTTTATACTGCTTCCTTGCTTCTGCCTCTTGTTTCTTCACAGTACTGTGAACCCTTTCACGTAAGGTAGTTTTATCTTCCGATATCGCCGCTTGGGATTTAGATTTCATACCTTTTACCCTATTCTTTTTTCCAGCACCCGAATCTTTGCCTGCGGATGCAAAATGCCTTTTCTTTGTCTCTTCTTCCTGTGAAACTAAAACATTCTCAGTTCCAATTTCTTTAACCTTTCTAACATCTTTCTTGGCCAGATGAACTGCAAGTGCAAGTCGGTCACTTGTGATAGAGGAGGACACTGAAGGCACAACAGGATAAACAACAGGTGTAGTTGTGCTGCTTTGAGATAATAATTGTGCTGTTCGATTCTGGTCACCTAATTTCTCTATAATGATAGGTTGGGGTTTTCTAAACCTTGTTGTAAACTGATCAGCAGATGTTGGCCCTCCAAGATTAAATTGTAGTTGGTTCATTTTATGAGGAGCTGGTCCACTGTCTGGCCCAGCCATCACCCGCTGAGGAACAGAGACTGGTTGATTCAAGCTTGGAAAATTAAAACCCACTTGAGATGGTTTCTGCAGAACATCAGCTGACATCCTGCAAGAAATATGCATGATTCAGAGGTCATGATCAAGAGGAGCAGGCTAGGGTAGGTCTAAGCCAGGCTTAACCCTTTAATGCCCTAACATCAGTATGTATATTCTCCATACTGTTCTATATAATTTTCCTGTCAGTGGTACTTACAAGGAGAATTTGTCAATCAAGAACTTCTTGAGTTTGTGATCATTGCTTTTATTCTCAATACCTTAACATTTGATTCAGGGGGGATGCAATTGGGATAAATTAGATGTTTATCCATTTTAGAGGTTAAAGGGTTCATGATTTCATGCTGCAGTCTGAAGATAAATTATACGCATCTTGTAAACAGAATTCATAACAAACAGATCAATTCACGGAAAACTGCAACAAAAGGTTAGCAGCAATAATAATATCCATTTGAATAAGTCGATTTGTGCTATGCACTTTGACTCTATTTCAAACCCCGCGTAGACAGAGGTTTTCGATCTCCGAAAATATTAATATTTTGGACCCGTGAACGAAGGGTTCAGATCAGAGCTTCGATAGATGGGGCCACAACGACCATAGATCGATCACATTTAACGGAGAGAAAAAAATAACTACCCCGCACTTTATCGGCCTATGGGCAATTTCCTAATTGATATGAATCAGACTGCAGGAGATAACTAGGAGGAAGTGTTTGATCACACTTAAGCTTAAATATTTCAGATATTAGTCGATGGTGTTTGTTGATGGCCGACTTTACAAGTCTTAAGTCCGAGTTCTTCCTGGGATTAAATACGTATATACATAAGTTGGCTTACCTTTAATTCATTGGCATCCCTCTTAGTCAAAACACAGAGTGTTTTTAGATGCAAGAAATTTATATAAACAAGTATAGAAAGGTAAAGCAAGATCGTCGGATTTTCAAGTTAACCGCCATTTTGTTTTTCAAACGATCATGTGACCGAGGCTCTGTGTTCCAGACTCTCTCAGTCGCTAACAGAATGGAAGCGGGGGGGGGGGGAGAAATACAAAACAACACCAAAATAAAAGGAAAACAAGAGAGTGAAAAAAAGAAGAAAAAAAAGGAATAATTAGAGGCCTTTGTCCCGCATTTCCCTCAGATTCCTCTCCCTGCCTTTTTTACCTTTTCACTCCCAAACTCTCATTAATTAGTAACTGTCATTAACTTATGATGTTAGTTTGGAGAATTTGGTATTGGACCAACTAATAATTCCTTAATACATATTTTTCTTTATTCTCATCACATGTCTGCTTAGTGTTGAATTGAAACTTAAAGGAAAATGCCTGTCTTGGTTACTCACGGGAATTAACTTGCAGGTAGAACTTTGCCTGAAAATGGAAGGTATATTTCACTTGCTAACACATGTTTAGTCGCTGCCCTTTTACTCCCACAAGTGGCTGGGTAGCAATTTTTTTACTGAAATATCCATGCGTTGTCAAGAAGTCTGGCAATTAAAATAAAGACAAGTGTCAAAGAGGAAAAGTTGTTTCAGCTAGTGCAGATAGTGTTGCATTGTATTTTTATACAATTTCTGATGCAATCTTCAATCAAAAAGTGAAAACATCTTGAGAAAGTGGGAGTTACGGCATAAAAAAAAGGCATCACATTTTTATATTTTGTAAGCAAGTGGAGGCAAGTGCAAGTAAAGCACAAGGGGCGAGACATGAGTAAGTGGAAGACCCCTAAAACATGACATCATCTTTTCCACACTACTTTTCTTACATCTCCCTTCATCACTTAGCTTTTCACTTTACCAGTAAGTGCCCTTATGACACTTAATGAGAATTTTCATTCTGTTCTAGCTTTTCATACCATAAACTTAACAAAACTGCAAAATTATATTTTACTAACTTAATTGGTGGTCAAGTGTTTCTATAAGTAACAGCTATGTGCAAGAAACCCCCTCTGTAAGCCTTACTAGTAACAGCGATAAAGAGAGAAAAATTCAAAATGTATTCAGCTTATTCCATTGTACTGTAAATACAAAATTTCATCAAACAGTTTCCCATAAAATAATTTGTCAACACCCAAACTAATTTTAAAACAGAACACGAGAAAATAACCACTCATTTTACTTTAAATAATTTTATTAAATAATTCTTCACCCCTTGCGTTGTATTTAATGGTACTTCTGCAGTAACATTATAGAATAGAAGAAGAAAAATGTAAAAGGTTGAAAAATCTATCGCTGTGATGAAAAATTAGGTATTTACAAGTGCACAATGAGCAGTATAAGTGACTAAAGACTACTTGGGGAAAGATTCTAGCCCTACCATTAGAAAAATGTATCATTTTTTAAGGAAGAATTTTAATATGATTACTGATCAATAAATTTGACATATAATTTAATAGAAGTCCTTTTTGCCTCTTCCTCGAACTAATGCCTGCTGTCGACGTTTCCTATCAGCAACATTGGCTGCACCATTGGGGCGAAGAACTGGAAGAGATACACTGTCTTGAACAACATGCATTCGCCCAGCTGTCAACCTTTGAAATAAAATAAAAATGGAACTCACTAGCAACCTAATGACCAGGAAATACTCTTTCCTGTCTCACAAACTATACATTCAGTAAAAGGACCAAAGACTTCTCTGACAGCTGATAACAAATCAAATGGCATAACAATCTAACCAAGCTACTAAAAGTATATTTGACCTTGTAAGCTATGATGAGAAAAAAAATATGAGGACCCCTTGAAAAAAGAAAAATTAACAAAAAAACAAAAAACTAACATATCTTTTCTCTTGCTTAAAGTACCAGTTAGTCTGCAAATAAAGAGAAGTAATAACTAAATCTTAAAAATTTTGTAACATTTAATTCCTCACCTTCCAGAATGCATCTGATCTCTTGAATGCAACCGCGGTAAAGATCTAGAAGCAGGTGTGTTTTGTCTGCAGAGCAATTTGTTTTAATCATTAATAACAGGTCTTTTGGTTAGGTTTTGAAATACATTGTACTGTTGAGGGGAATACTTAATCACTGCATACCTTGTATTGGTTGGTGCATCATCTGTAACATAGGACTTGGTTACAAGATATGTATCTGGTGTCCACTTGTCAGAGTACAGGGCATCATTCAAGTCTGACTTTAGTTTCGAAAGCTAACACAGTTCAAAGAATTTCTTGTTAAGGAGAATAAGTTCTTCCTAACAGAGCATGAGCCCGTTCTTATTGAGAAATATTTTTAGGTTTAGTAAGCAGTTTCTTAAATGGCACTTGGATCAAACTTGATTATTTTAAATTTGTTGGCTTTTGCCAACAAAAAATACATGGCATATAACTGGTTTGGCTGTATAGCAAAATATGGACCAAGTAAAACCAAATCAGAATGCTTGGATTTTTCTTAGGACTAGCTTAAATCCACACCCTCCTCATCAGATCAGTCACCCTGATCTGATGAGTCTTCACCCTGATAAAAACAAAGATGAAATTGGATTGAAAAAGAAAGCAATTTATTTTTTATTACAACTCCTGCTTTGCATCTGGCTACTTGTGTTTTAAAGGTCTCTCAAGAAAACTCAGTCCGCCAGGAAACACCAAAAGCAACGCTAAACGTGAAAGGATGATTCCTGTCTGTCATTAAGCTATCACTTTTAAGATCAACCTGGTAACTCTCCTTACTGACTGCCCAACACTTCTTGCGTAGATATTCTGAGAATCTGAAGTTTTATCAAAAATAGCATCCTGAATTCATATTCTCCCCCCTTCATTACTTTACAAAATGTTGATACCATTAGGAGAATTTAGTAATTCAATCACTGATAGTACAGTGTACATACCTCTTGTTCTTGCCTTTTGTTTGTTTCTTGTTGATGTTTAATGATAGCTTTACACTCCACCAAGGTTGGTGACCGTGGGGCACTGTCTGTCGGCATGTGAACTTTCACATGCTTATCCTTTATTGTGACAAGGAGAACTGATTGACCGAGGGGAATCCCCTGCTTTACTGGTGCAGGTGAAGTAGTGGATAATGTGAGAGCATGAGAGGAATTTGAATTCAAACTTGTTGGTTTTTCCTGCCAATTGTATGATTTTGCTTTCTTTTTTCCTGAACTTTTAGGTTTGATAACTGGACCTTTGGCTGATATGGGAGGGGAGGGTGTGGATTTAGCTGCAAGTGGCATTTTACCAGATCCATGTCTGAAACAAAAGAAAAAGAGAACACAAAGAAAAATTTAAAATTTGGAGGACACTTTGAACTTAAAGTGTCTATACGGCCAACAGGGTTTTTATAGTGTTGGTATGTATTTAACATGTAAAAAAGTATTCTTACATAAAATTGGATTCTGATGAGTCTTCACCCTGAAATCAGGCTTTAAACTTCCCGCTTTGGCCACGCCCATTGAAGGTGACGGTGAGTCGGGGCAAAAAAGAGATTGGGTTCCAGAATGGGTCATGAAGTCAAGTCAGGGACGTGCCAAATCCTACCAGTGGTTCATTTCACTGTTTTTTTCAGTAAGGTAAAAGGGTTTTCGGCAAGATAAATATGCCCAATAGATGTGTCGTAAAAGTACTGTGTTTGTCAAGCAAAGTAACAACACGACGCTCGAGACGCTCCTGGAGTGATGTCACTCATCACCAATCTTCCCTTATGCGGTCAACGTCATCGGGCATGGCCGAACTTTAAAGCTCAATTTTAGGGTGAAGAGGTGTCAGAATCAAATTTTGTTTTAGAATACTTCCTTACAGGTTAAAGAGATACCAAAACAATAAAAACCCTGTTGGCCGTATATATATCTTATTAACCGAGCGCGAGGGGCGTACTGGGAGAATATCGGCCCGAGGTCTTGACAGTACGGACCGAGCACAGCTCGGTCCGTACTGTCAAGACCTCGAGCCGATATTCTTCCAGTACGATCCTGAGCAAGCTTGGTTAATAAGAGATTTATTATACGACTGAAGTTGAAAGGGACACAAGTGCGGTATCATTCGGGACCATTAGGGACAGTGCCCGGTCCAATACTTAGAGAATATTGGACTGGCAATAGAGCATTTTGATTGGTTGATTTTAGTTATTGGCCCTCTGACTGCCCTAGTCGTGTAATAAAGACACTTAAATGTCAAAGACATATTTTAACGTTTCTAAAAATTTTGTAGTCTCCTCAATGTAAATCATAAGGAGTACCTCATTAATTCAGTATCAATACATTTTCAGTCACATGTTTCATAAATGTTAAACACTTGGATGTAAAGGTTGTTACATGATATACTTTTCTACATTCCTATGTACTGGTAAATATGTGACTGCCAATGACTGGATGATATGGCATGTTTTGTGTCATGTACAACTACTTAATGTGGAAGTTGCACATGTGGTTATGATTTAAGTCACAAAACTTGTGTAAGAACTGTGTCTAAGCTCATGTCATACAATTATGGTACTGCGTGAAAATTCCTTTAGCTATTTCAAGCATGGAATTTGCAAAGTGGAAAGTTTTGAAGATAACTCTTCCTAAAGTAATAAACAAGGTTAATTTGCCATTTGAGGCAAGCAGTCCATCCAGCTGCAACCTATGCCAGCTTCTGTAGCATGAAGCAAGTAAGGGTAGAACTATGTACTATGTAAGTCCATCACAAGATACCCCCTCCCCAGGCTTCCCTTACAGTTTTCCAAGACCCATTTCTACTGCTGGGTGGAAAGAGTCCTGGTGAGAGTGAAAAGTGAAAGTGTTTCATACAAAAACACAACACAATGAGCCAACTATGTCTTGTACCCAAACATCTCAACCCAGAGTCTACCATGCTGACCGTTTGGCCATTGCATCCCAAATTCTCCCTACACCTATAAAAAATTATCTGTAATACGACTGTTGGAAACAAATGAGTACTCAATAGTATTGTTCTATACTTTCTTCTTAACAATAGCTTGTTAACAGCATCAACTCTAGTGGATTGAAGTGTGAAGTGAGAAAACTAACCAGCCTAGACTTGACAAAATAAATATGCTGAAGCCTATTCTGGTATAGTGTCTTACTTCACCGTATATATGCTATGCTTTCCTAAGTTGTGTCTGTATAAAACTAGTTCCATTTTCATTTCAGCAATTTAGATTCTTTCACACCTCCTCCTTCACTTAACTCTTTCATTCCCAAGATCTGACTTTCAATTCTCCCTTATAGCTGCTACACATTCCCTTGTAAATTGGTTACCAGAATTTGGCATTAGCTCAAGACCACAACTTCTACCTGATTAGTTTGAATATTCTTATCACCTGTTGGCTGGACAATTTACGGATACAATGCCTAGAGAAAATACATGTTAATCACCTCAGAGAGTTTAAGAATTAAATACCTGGGAATACCTTTCTCACTTCTCATAGATTTCTCAGCTGGATAAAGATTATCCTTCAGTAAGAGCAGCTTATTTTCAAGCTCACATACAATTACTAGCATGAAATTTTTCCATGTTATGCGTTATTAATATCAAATGTTTGTAATTTCAGGCATGCATTGTATGTCATAATCATATCAATACATATAAAATCAACAAGAATACTTTACAGAAACCTTTTGTTCCTTTTTGCACTTGAGTTCAACACTTCTTGTGTTAAATTTTTGTTATGTGATTCTTTAACTGTCTGTGCTGGCTGAGATGGCAGATTTTTATCTTCTAGCTTCTCTTTAACACTGAGAACTCCCTCATGTTGATCACCTTGAACTGTGGAATTAATAAAATCACAATTAAGGAACATAAAGACACTCTTGGTGTTTTAACCCTTGAAAACCCTCTCCTTGCAGTAACACAGGTGAATCATTTACTAAGATCATGAGAATAAAGGGAAAGATTGTTGACCTAAGAAACTTTGATTTTTAAACAAATTCTCCTCCACAGAACCAAAGGAAATGTATAGGGAACAGTATGGAGAGTGTGGATGTTAATGTTAGGATGTAAAGGGTCATGGTGAAAATCTGTTATTCCATGGAAGTTATCTGTTATTCCATGGAAGTTACCTGTTACAATTTGTAACCAAATTTTTTCCTTTGGTGGAACAGGAAAAATAATAATTGAGAGGAACAAGTAACTCACAGTATACCATTTCCTATTCCATCAAAACTGCTTGAAGAGTTGGACAGGGAGCACACAAAACAATACATTCAATTAATTAATGAAAAACTACCTAAGTCGACAGACCGCAACACATCACTTTCAACTGGGCTAGGAGATGTCTCATCTTCTGATTAAAAAAAAATATATATATATATATATGAGAGAAATAACATTAAAAAGTTCAAGTAGATTTTGATTCTTTAAGATCCTTTATTTTTTTTTTTACCGCTTTGTGAGGTAAAAACTTTCTAAGTTTATCCTTCAATCAGATTAAAGCAATGATCCCAAATTATTATCCAGTGTTTAGCATAAAAGGCAATGGAGATCATTAGCCTATGGTTAGAAGTTCATAAACTGAAACAATGGGAAGAGTGGTATTACATATTTCACTTAAATTCTATGCACAATTTATTTTATGTTGTATTTTGAATTAATGTTTTGCCCTAACACCCACAACACTAGGTATTGTAACCTCCCACCAAAACAATCTGTAAATGATAATTACCTCAAGAAAGTGAAGAATCAACATTCATATAAAATAAGGTACTGGCTGAATTTTTCATGCTCAGATATATAATTAGGTTATTGAGGAACAGTAAAGACACTACTGGTATATTGTTATTCCTCACACTAAAGTAACAGCCACCATCAGAGATTTTCAAGTAAATAGTGGTCAACTTGGCTATAAATCTATTTATCATTAGGTGTATTTCCAATCTTTAATCTTCATGATGTCTTTGTTTGCTCTTGATTTTTCAGATAGTCTTCCCTCCCTTGATAACCTTCCTTACAACCACGAGACAACAATGTCTCTTTCAGTCTAATACTCAGACCCGCTAATTATAGTGTAAACAAATATTAAAGATCATTACCATAGTGAAGTGACCACACATTGTGGCAAACCACAGGAATTCAGTAAGATCACTCTTCAACATGACAACATTTTGAGTGTTGCTAAGTAAATAACTTATTTTGCACGTCACTAATTAACTAAATATGACAATTATAACAATGGGTTATACTGCCAGTATACAAATCTCAGGGCACTGATTAACTACAGATGACAATTATAACAATAGGTTCTACTGCCAACACATAAATCTGTACTTTCTAGATGTGCACAAAATACTATTGATTTAACAGCTCAGCCTATGTAATATTTAAATAGTGATAAAGTAAACTAACAGGTATAATTACTCCACTGTTGCACAAAGAAGGCATGTTTAGTAGACATCAACTCATGACAAACTCACTCTCATTTGGAGTTTGAATGAGTAAGTGAGATTTTAATTAAAGGTTACCAACCTTGTTGTAAACGTAAAAACTGAGAAATCGCAAGTTTTTGGCAGCCACTGATTGATGAATATTTCAACGACAAGTGATAGGAAAAAAAAACAATTAGTGGTAACTTAATTTAGCTTGGGTCAACAAACCTTTGGGTAGATTCACACCCGTGCGAGCCATTACCAGTTTGAAATTTAACTCTAGGACAAAATACAATACAGCGACGTTAACATTTAATATCACAGAAATACATGTAGTTTCGTAATAAAAACTTCACGCAACTATCAAAGTACAAGAATAGGAGGGGAAAAGAAGTTTGAAAAGGAGCGAATAAAGGTGTGTTTTTGTTGGCAAACCGAACATCAGCTGCTCTCGGGGCGATTATAACAAAATAAAAATACCCTTAAAATTCCTTCGACGATTTTCCAACGTGACCCCTTTTTACTGAGAATGATATCGACTTTCGATCGATTCAATGGGCCAAGTACTTGATGAGATCTTTAAACTAAGAATCGAGATTTGCTTTCACTTCTCACCTTTGTTTTCAGCCTTTAATCGTTCTATTTCATTATGTAAATTTGATAAAGTTTCGGCATGTTGCGTGCGAAGATAATCCAGCCTTTTTTCTATGTTATCCAGTCTTTGCGTTTGTTCAAGTCCGTGTCCCCGAGAGGGAGCAGAAACAATCCTTCCAGAGTAATTCGACAACTCGTTCGATCTGTCTTCTGAGATTTCATCCATCTCTTCCCTAATTGATTTTATCGGCTGCAAGCGGTCACGAATTATGGGCCGCCGCTGTTTTCTCCTCCCCAAAGAGTTTCTTGACCACGAAGGAAGATTTTGAAGAGGAGGAAGGTTAGCAGGTTGTGTCGGAGCCTTTGACATGGTTTGAAGTGAATGCATCGCCGCTAAAATCAGCACGTCTTTGGCAGCAGCTGGGGTAGCCAATAGCTAGAGATTGAAGACCAAAAGTGCGGACACATTGCGACGCACAGCGTTCAAACTAAGAAGCATTTCCCTTTCTAGATGTTCTCCGACCACTGTAGAGGATTTACATTTACCAGCTGAAGAAAAAAAACACACCAGATCGTAGGAAAAACTTGATATTTCCTTACCAGAACGCGACAACAAAAGATGTACAAGTTTTCCCGAGAACCGAAGCACGCATGACTACCAAACACCGTTACTATGGTGAACGTATCGTGAATCTAATTTCCAATCTCTCGCGGTTAGAACAACGCGCTCTTTTGGTCAAAATTCGCCTAAAATATTGCCTAAGTTTCTAGGAAACGCAGAAATTATCTTGATTATGATAGCATGTTTTAAGACCAGGATTATACGGCCCGTAGTGAGCTTAAATTTAAAACTTTTGAAATAACAAAATTCAGAAGGGAACGAAATATTTCGTTAACTATATTGGGAAAATTCGAATCGTTCATCGAAAACCTTTTATTTCTTCATTTGCTAGATTAATCAAATCCAAGTGAGCTTTATCATTAACGAGCATCCGAGATCTGGAAGATCAAAGCAATTTTGTTATTTCATTGCGTCCAAAAAGTACGTATTACTCATGGACGCAGGAGATTACCTTGAAAATTAAACATCAAAATTTCATATATACTTCCTTTCCAGGTGAACACATACACAAACCCGAATTAATGTCTAAACTTCGCTTATTCATAGAGAAAAACAAACTGTATGATAATTTTAAAAATAACGATAATCTTCAAACGAGGAGAAATTCCTGGAAGTCTTAAAATATTAACTGGATTCGAATTAAGCGTGCTTCAGGTTTTTTTTGTTTTCAGCTCCGTTCGGTTTCCAGAATATAGGTGAAATATGACTGTGTCAGGATGGGTTGTGCTATATGGGAGAATTTAAATTTTGCGCATAATGATCAAAGTGAAAATTAAACTTTCCCAACAAAGAGCAAAATATCGAGACAGATTTCCGGCTGCGCCGTAAAATCCGTATTGGTGGGGCTAATAATCAGGGCCCGCTCGCACGCTAAGGGCCAGGTTAAACTAGGAAACTTTGTTGCGGAAACATTGTTTCCTGTTATGTTTTCCGGGGTGGCTAAATTAGCGGGAAATAAAATGGTTTGCGCCCCAGTGGCTAAACGAGGAAATATTGTTTTGGAAAACAAATGAACTACGCATGCGTGTATGAATAAACTGAGTTCGAGGAAGTTTGAGGATCATAGGATGTTCACATTTTCATTGTATCAAAGCCCTTTGTGGCATTCTGCACAATAATAAGGAACTTCAGCATCATCCCCCCTTCCAAGAGGGGTGGTACACATCGCCTTTTTGTTGACCTGACTTCTTTCTTCTTTCCAGGGCCTGTTCCCTCATAAACTGTGACCTGATAATTTTCCACTTGCTCTTGTAATCCTCCCGGCTGATATCATATTTTTCTGTCATCAGTAGATCGATTTGCGAATACGCCACCTCCTTACTGTCCCTGTTAATGTAGTCCTTATGACCCACGTCCCAGAGTCAAGGCCTTTCCTCATACAGCGTAATTAGCATTTAAATTTCTTCATCTTTCCAATTCCTTTCCTTTCCCTTTCTTTGAACGCAGTCAGTCATTTTAATTGTTGTCTGCTCGCCGTTGATGTAAATAGGGCTATACAACTAATTAATTAAAAATTAAAATTAATTAAAATTAAACCAATTAAAATTAAAGTTGATATGAAACATTTTTCAATGTGCGAGCGGCACTGGAAACTAATCAACATTGTTTTCATCACGGCTAAACTGGGAAACATATGTTTCGGACGCAAATTTTGTGTCCGGGAAACAAAAGTTTTCGTCTGCAGGCAAAAACAATGTTTGTTTCCGGGCAGCAAAATTTGTTTCCGCAACATAAATTTCCCGCGCGGCTAAACTGGGAAACATTTGCCTCCGCAACAATGTTTCAACAACAAAGTTTCCTAGTTTAGCCAGGCCTTAACATAGATCTTGTAATCTAGTGAAACAAGGCACAACGAAACGTGAACTACCGTTTATTCAATTTTCATTTATTCCACACCAGGAGTCCCCGCTGATTTAACTGTCTGGTGGTTTGACCCAGCCTTGCTCCACGAAAAAGTTGTACATCTTTCTTGTCTTGTTGACGTCAATGCGAATCAAAGTGCGAGCTTGAGCGAGTCTTAATGAGCCTTGCTTCTCGTATTCTTTAATGAGACTGGACTTGTAACTCTGGTAGTCATGTGGCAATAGCCTGAGATTACTGCACAACTGATTGAGGCAAAAAGAAAAGGATATGAAGCGTATATGAAGATAAACAAAATACATTTTTCAAAAGTTTCCTGGTAGGTACAGTCGTTATTTATCACCTGAGAAGGGGGGGTGGGGGTAAGGGAGGTAGGAGGATTTTGGTTGCGCCAAAATCAAATTTACCTGAGTCCCCTCTAAGGCTCTATAGTATTCTAACAACCCCCATGGATCCACCCCACCCCTCAATGGCAGTCGGTTTTCAATAGTCCTCCCTCTAAACTTTGTTAGCACGACTGTTTCACTTCCTTTCCCCCCTGGAAATCATGTGATCCCCCCAAAAATACTCAGACCCCCCCCCTTCCCCGTGGTAAATAATGACTGGTCCCTTTTTTCACGTGATTACAAGTACCTCTCTCTCTAGTGGTCTGAGTTGTTCAACTCCTGGAGTACCACTAATGTCCAATCGAGCTGCAGGCTTACGACCTTAAATAATGAGCAGAAAAGTCTTTAGAAATGTAGATTTACTGCCTCGTATTATTTGTTCTTCAGTAATTGACTATTTCGAAGTTTTTCTTCCCCAAAATCGGGGCTAATATGGAAAACCTGGAAAGTCATGGGATGTGAGATGTCATATGTTAGTCTCGGAATTTCATAGAAGTTGAGTGGAGAACATGAGAAATAGCGGAAACCTTTGGTAATAATTTTTTAGGGGACCAACAAAGTATGAAAAGCTATGAATGCCTAATTTCACGTTTGTGAAGATATGAAAATCATATATGTGAAGAGGTTAAAGAAATAATTATGAGAGCGATATTCATTACGAACCAACATAATGACCAGCTCCCAGTTGGCTTGTTAGCTTAGTTGGTAGAGCACTGCACCGGTATCGCAGAGGTCATGGGTTCGAATCCCATACAGGCATGAATTTTTTTCACGCCTTATTTTCACTACAGCTTAAGTAATGTTCATTATTACGAAGATCGCTCTCATACTTATGAATGCCTAATTGTTTCAGCCAATACGAATCAAACTTTGCAAACTCTGATTCTACCACCTACCCAAGCTTGGCAGAGAAATGGGCGCTAAGCTTTGCCCCGAATCTCTGTAATGAAAAGTGTTACTGAGGTTAGTCAGAGTGAGACGCTACTTCATTTAAACAACACGATAATACATCATCGTTTTTGTTTTCAACCGAGGCGACTCTGAAGAACTAACACTAGATCCATGGACAGAGTAGCAGACTGTACAACAAGACATAACCTTACATTTGAGCCTGTCTATGAAGCCACACTTGACAGGCTTTCTCGTCCTAAAGAAGAGAAAATGACATGAGCGCTGTTAGGAGTTCGCTTGATCTCATAACCTTACGAACGTTGCGAGAAGAACTTCACGGAAGGTTGAAGTTAATGTTTTTGTGAAGTTCTTCCCGCAACAACTCTGACAGGGGCTTAATACACTTTATCGCCTCCCGGTTAGCTCAATTGGTTAGAGCGCCGGACTGTTGTGCGGGAGGTCGAGGGTTCGAGCCCCGGACCAACACTCAAGGTGTTAAAATAACTGAGGAGGATGTGATACCTTTCTATAATATCAAGAAATGGATAGACATTCTTGTCTTCTCGGATAAGGACGAATAAACCGTAGGTCCCGTCTCCTGCATCTATTAATTAGTTAATTTGGTTTGGCAGGGGACGTGAAAGAACCATGGGGAGTGGTCATCTAACCTATCTATCGATCTAAGTGGGTAATACTACAGGTTTAAAAAATGTTTGTTGCACGAATTACCCAACTTGTCGCAAGTGGTGACACATAATACTGTGGGGAAATGTGTCGTGACGTGCTGTGTCGTGGGGCAACGTACCGTGATGTGACGTGCCATGACGTACCGCGGGGTAACGTGCCGTGCCGTGTTGTACCGTGACATGACGTGACGTGACGTATTGTAACGTATCGTAACGTTCTGTGCCATTGGGCAACATGCCGTGATGTGACATGCCGTTACGTGACCCTTCATTCCGCCACATTGTATGACACCTTGCCGCAACATAAAAGGGCTTTCTTAAGTGCGCACAGAAAACGCCTTTCAACTGATAAATCGAGATTGCGGTGTGAAAAGTAAACGGCCGTATCTCATTTCTCGAGAATATTTTAACGTCACTTCCGGAACTTTACCTGAATATTAGCCAAAATATCATCCAGCATTTTTCTCCGAGATTTGTCTTCTTCCCGACGCCTGTTCAGTCGTTCATAGACCTCTGCTCCTAAACACAAAATCAACGAAGATACCCGAGGTTTACAAGGAACGCTTTCTCTCAAGCGTTCTCCACCTGGTTCCCAGGCTTCAATCTCTTTCTAGCGTAAGTAAGTAAGTAAGTTTATTTATTCATGTTGAACACAAAAGAGCTTACGACAAAAGCTCGTAAGAACGTGCACGTGCTAAATACTAAAAAATCTGTTATAACATATAATAAAAAGTATGAAAATCGTAATCTTTTACAATTTATGATTTATGACCCGTCCCTTCCAACCCGAAAATGTGCAGTAAGAAATCCCCAACTACTATAACTACTACGATGTATAATTCATCATTAATTAACCGTCCCTTCTAACCCGATTTATATCTGAAATATGTAATACTGAAGAAATCCCCAACTACTATAACTATTATAATGTTCAATTAAATATTGGTACTGGTAGCTCTGTTATCAAACATGCCTCTTAAAAAAGCAATTGTAAGTCAAACTTCATCAAAGCTGTTTTAAAAGCCTTGATGTTTTCACTTTTCCTAACTTCCATAGGTAACTTATTCCATAGCTTACTGGCCATGAAGGAGAAAGATTTATGCAGCCACTCAGAATTAAAACGAGGTTGAACCAGATTACTGCCTTGACCCCTGAGAATATAATGCGTGAGGGAGAAAGAAAGAGGATCCTGGGAACGAAGTTGAGATTTAATAATCAAACTCGTAGCGAGCCATGCGCGCAAATTTCATGTACTGTCACGTGTCTGTCGTGGTGGAAAATGACGCACCGGAAAACATACCACGCCGTTACATAACGCACCGCACAAAAGAGTGCGCCGCGTTATAAAGTACATAAAGACCTGGGTTAGAAGAGGCCTAAATTTTGCCTTCGACAAGATAACAAAAAATTGAAAATGTACTAATGAAGTTTTTGAGCACATACTGCTTGCAACATGGTTCTCTAGAGGAACTGGTCTCTTAAGTTAAAAAAACTATCTCTTACCCCTTCTTGTACGAATGCCTGCGGATCTGTATTCTTGTAAATTGATAACTTCTTTCTTCAGGAAAGATTCCACTAAAGGAAAAGCAAAAGCAATACTTTCTTCATCTCAAAAACTGATTATAACGTTTTTTTTAACTTCCTCTATTTGCAATTTTTAATTTTTAAAGTCCGCATTCATCATGCCAAACTTTATCTATCTTTGCCTCTTTTTAGTTTATGACCTGTTATAATGCATGCTATTTATTATTTCAACCTAACGAAACCATTACTGTGACGTTTTCTTCACCGTCAAGGTAGATTCCAACTAGTTTAAGTAACTCAGGATACTCCAATTTATTCAAGTTCAATGTGTGACGATTTTATATCCTTACTTAGTAATCCTTGGACAAATATTTCATGTGCATCAGGTGAATGAAGACGAGCGAAAGGTCTTAGGCTGTCACGAAGCTCCCTGTGAATCGTAAAACCAAAACCAAAGTAGTCACAATGACCAATTAGAGGAGAGGAAACTTCTTTGAGGAGCCAGTGAGAACTCAAAGGAGAACCAACCAAACTGCCAAAGCGCGGGAAAACGCGGGAGACCGATTCGTGAGTGGTTTAAGTTTTACTTCTGATTGGTCGAGAAGGTGGCGTGAGGTTTATACATATTTTTTAATCACATTCTACAACTTCAAGTATAACTTTTCCTACAATTTAAAAATAGAAGATTCTTGGGTACCTTTCTGTTTTCGACTGTCTTCGCTCAAGGGCTAAGAATATAGAGATTGAATAATAAAATATTTCAGTAAAACATAAGAATGAACCTTAGCTTAATATCACATCAAAACTGATGCATACTTTGCCATTTTCGGATGTTGATGAGTCCATATTTTCTCACAATTCTGTGAATAAAAATAATAAGCATATTACTTAGCAAGGACCCAGTTGTTCAAAGGGCAGATAACGCTATTCAACAGATAAATCGCTATCCAGGGGATAAGTGTTAGCAAAACTTACTGTGCTATCTACCGGACAGAGATTTATTCAGTGGATGAACGCTATCCTGGGGCCGCAAGAACAAGCATAATTTTAACACAATTTTTAGTCGAGCAAAACGTTCGTGCGTGACTCGCGCGTACTTCTTCTTGGCTGAAAAAAGGAAATCAGCAGACTTTTTACCGCGCAAATCCCCTCTTCAGCGAGCGACTCCGCATCGTTTGAAAATCAGGCAAATTCGCGTCAAAATTCCTATGCAACTAAATCAGGTGCATCGTTGTATCACCGTTGTATTTATTTAAAAGTTTGTAACAATGTAACAGCTTTCTATTTTAATAGTTAAGAGTTTGAGGACCCGTGAGATTGGCACCCATCACAAAACCCAATACTTAACAATGGAGAGATTATTTTTCGATCTCCGGAGACAGTGAATCTTAATTACGTTGGAAAGGGTAACCAGTCAAGTTGCCCGAAAGTCAAGTCACCCGAAGTCACGTGGCCCCAAACCAGAGTCGTGTAGGATTTTTCACTTTCTAAAATAATTGGGCGATAGTTCTCTGATTTCGGGCGACATAACTTAGAGCGAGATGACTTTCGGGCAACTTGACTGTAAACATTGGAAACAGTGCAACTTCACTTACTGTTTCCTGTAGAATCTTTGCTGTAGTCTTGACAAAAATATTTCAATGGCAGCGATTTTGAGTTCTGCAATACAACAACCACAAGTTCTAGATTCACACTTCAATAGCTGTTGAGCAACGCCATAAAAAAAGAACGAGATACCAGAACATGTCTAACCTTTAAGTAGGTCTGAATCAGAAGAATTGAATTCAATGTCTTTTATGTCAACCTCAGCATAGTTATCATATTCCTAAATGTAACAGTGATAGACAATGTTTAAAGTTCTTCCACAAGTCTACTACTAAAAATAATTGTGTACATTTCTTATTTATGACTAAAAACAGAAATTTAGGTTAACTGCACGTCTTACAACCATTGAAATAAATATGGGAACTTTTTTTTGCCACAGGCACATAAATGTTATGTTGAATTCAATTTTTGTAGAATCAACAGGTCCCTGAAAGCTCTTGCTGCAGTAATTTTAGATGCTAAGCTCTTAAAAGCTTCTATAAAACCAAGTCTACTCACTCAACAAAATTAAACCAACACTGGTGACCCAAAGACAAAACTAAGTCACCTGTGGCACTCCCTTCTGTTAGGGCACAGAGCTGAAATTTATAACTTCATTCCAAAAGAGAAAACTGAGCTCCTACCACATCAAAATCGCCCCTGCACGGCATATACCCAGACATTTCCAAACTTCTTGCTGAATCCACTGGAGGACGAGGAGGATCTTCCACTGCTGCGTGACCATAAGAAAAAAATAGTGCTTTTATTGAAAAGAGAATGATGCTGTTCCATCTTTTCAGCAGTGTGGGACAAGAAAACAAATCTGAGCCCAAATGAGGAATCAATCCTCAGAAATTTAGGAGGTAAGTTTCCAAAGGAACTGCCATGTTCTGTCAGTGGGGGAGCATAACAAGATAATTTTGGTTTTATCAACTGATTTGATGATGTACATTGGCCATGGTACAGAAGTTTTAAAGCTGACATTTTGAGTGTTTGCCCTTTGACAAAGGGCAAACACTCGAAACATCAACTTTGAAACTCTTTACAGTGGCCGATTTACATCATCAAATCAGTTGATAAAACCAAAATTACCCCAGAAATTTAGGTTCCATATTTTTCTGATCTACCACTAAGCTACATAGAACATATGGCTAGCTAGGGCACTATTAGGTTCATATATGACACATATTTTGCATACTCATGTGCTTGGATTAGTAATGTCAAAAACGTCATGAGAGCAAATGGAAAAAGAAAAATGGTGACCTTTGAGTACACTAGAAGAGTTAATTTTAACCATTCTCTACCCACTCCATTTTTTTTAACCTTTTAACTCCCAAAAGTGATTAATATGTAACTTCCCCCTTTAATACCCATACATCATCCAGCAAACAGGTAATGAGAATACTCTAACTTATCAGGTAGAAGTTGTTACCTTGATCTAACACCAAATGCACATCACTAATTTACATGAAAATGTGTAGCAGCAATAGGGGAGAATTAACAATCCGATCATGGGAGTTAAAGGGATAAGGAACATGGACAGAAGACATGTTATTTGGCACGTTTATCGATTATCCTATGATTTCCAGAATATTCTTGTTTAGTCCTTTAGGAAAGTTCTAGTAGTTCCGGCATGAGTGCATGACATCTATTTATAGAAACTCGAGTTGTTTAAAGGTTCTATGATGTAATGTTACTAAAAATAGTCGTGTTGTAAATCTGTAGAATCTTCTAGAAAGATTGTGGGGAACTATACAAGAAGGGGCAGTAGGTTGTTGCGTTTAGAGGAAAAAGAAGAAGAAGAAGAGAAAAAGATAAAGGAAATAAAGGACATAGTGAAAACAATTCATTTCAAGGTTTATCACGAAAGCAGAACAAGTGTACTGATATGATTCAGTCATAACAGATTGGTCACATTGGTCAGTTTCTGGGTTATGTTTATTAACATTGAAAACAAGCAATTTACTTAATCATTTAGTATTTACCTTTAAATACAATGCCAAGAGTGGACGATGATGGTGTGCAAGCAGCAACAGGCCTCAGTTCTGAAAACAAAACAAGGTAGCATAATATTAAAAAGACAGTTCAGGCTTGAAAGAAACCACATCAATGTAGTTCCCGTTATATTGGCGAAACTAGTCGCCACCTCTCTACTAGGATAAAGGAGCACATGGAAAGCGATAAAAACTCACATATTTTTAAGCATTTTAACACATCTCCTTCTTGTAAGAACAAATACTCCCTTTCTTGCTTTAATATTCTGGATTCTGCCAACAACTCAATTGATTTAAAACTCAAAGAAGCTTTTTATATAAATAAGATCAAACCTGAACTTAACAAACAATTACAGCATTATAACACTTTTCTAGCAGTTTAGTTCACACCTTTAATTTCATGTTTCACGTTGTAATTAGTACCCGCTTTGTATTACATCATACTGAAAATATTTTATTCATCTACTTGTCTGTTATATAATTACTCATTTGAAGATGGCATAAGCATGCTGAAACATGTCTTTAAAAAAAGTTGTATATTTCTTACAATAAAAACATTGCAAAGAAAATGTTTTATACTCACGTAGAACAGAAGCTGTGATTTGGAATTATTACAATTTGTATACATTTGAAGAACAGAGGCAGTAGGGGTAAAGTTTTCATGTTTCTAATTGGAACTACACACTGCCTTTACTAACATTCAGTATTATTTGAATTTAAAACAGGTGAAATTAAAGCACTGATGTCAGTAGCATACCTGAGATCCGAAGAGCTTCACAAGGTTTATCAATATAACATTCTAGGTAATGTTCCTTGCATTCTGAAAGATCACAATGAAATAAATCAAGTATCAATAATGCTGATAACTGTGGAAGACCCAGTGACCTAATGATAAGTGCACTGGACTCCAGGTTGAGATGCACCTCTAGACACTTCACTCTGACAGTGCCTTTCTTCACCCTAGAGTATAAATGGGTAGCGGCAAATTGTCAGGGAAGCCTGATGAAATACTGGGGGGTAACCTTGCATCCCATCCACTGGGGGAGTAGCAATACGTCTCCTGGTTGCCGCATGCTATATGGAAACTGGGATAAGTTCCCCCTGGCTGGGCCAGAAGGCTGATAACTACCATTGCACAATTAACTATGCGTGAAATAAGCTCAAGTTGGCATCATGTTTTCATGTCACTTTGTGGCACTCTTATTACAATGAAATTCATTTGAGAGGTGGAAATGCAGGTAGGTGAGAACTTTTTTTAAATTCAGCTTCCAGTAGATTTTTAAAATTGTCACATAACCCACACCTTCCTAGTACCCACAGTGGTGCATGTTTAATGTAAAGTTAACAGATTACCCATGGGTAGGTAGGTAGGTAGGTAGACTTTATTTAGCCAGGGTGGCTAAATAAAGGCCCATTCAGCAACGAGGCTGATATCCAGAGGGGCCCTGGAGTAAACAGCCGGATATTACGGTAGATGCTAATGTACAAGGATTAGTCTAAACAGTACATTTTTACATTAAACATCAATAGTAACAATCATCAAGCATAGAAGTTACTTAGTACACATCTTGATCACTGATTTTACTTTAGTAGCCATCTCCCATTAACTTTTTAACATCTAAGAATGACTGGCTTCTAATTTCTCCTAACGTTATCACCCTTTAATTAAATATAAAGGGCACCAGAATAAAAAAAAGGATAACAATTCAAGATGCTCCTGATCATATCAAACAAAATTTCCCCTCGTCATAACAAACATACATACCATAAAGTTGAAAATTTGGACAGTTTTGACAAGGGGTTACTTTCCATGAAAATAGTAAAGTTCAGTTATGATAATTTCACTATGGCCACCTAACAAACTTTTGTGAATATTTTTCTGCATGAAACTACTGACAATATTTTGACCAGAATTTGAAGAAATCATGTCAAAACAATGACAAAGGCTTTTTAAGGAAACATAGTAGTGTGATAATTGAGTTACGAGCATACCAGCAGACAAACATTAGAAATACATTATTTTACCTTCTTCTGTTTTGCTCTGCACTTGCTTGGCAACCTCTGTCCTGAGACATAAAAAATTTTTAAATCTTTAGTTGTAAGCTTTACAATCACACATACACAGACACAAAAAAAACTAGACTAAGACCTCTTTACAGTAGAAAATGCATCTGAAAATCTGTAACTAACTCACCAGTTTTGAAAGCCACAATCAGAGATACTATTCAAAAGCTCACACTCTTCTTGAGCACTCCAGTTCTTCTCCAAAACTGGAAAATTGTTGCTCTAGACCAGAGACAAATGTATAGGACTATATCAACAGTTTCTTTGAAAGATGAAGCAGAATTGTCTGTGCCTCTGAATTATTATAATTATATACTATGGTTCAAACTTTTCTTGTTTCAGAATAGGGGCCAATGCAATATGATTTTTATTTCCTTTTGGCTCAGGTTATGATAACTGAATTGTAATTTACATTTAAATGTACCCCAGCAAAAAGAAGGTAGTGAGTGACTCTACTTCAACCAAGTAATTCACTCAGTCAGGGGCCCATCCCAGTTTCCTCAGCGTAGAGACTACGATTGTCACTACTCCCCTTAGGATGGGAAACTAGTCCATCACAAAGTTACACTCCAGTATTATATCAGGCTTCCCTGACAATTTACCAGTACCCATTTCTACTCCTGAGTGAAGAGAGGCATTATGAGAGTAAAGTGTTTTGTCCAAGAACACGACACATTAAACAGGCTGCATATCCAACCTGAACCTCTTTACCCACACTCCAGCGCACTAAATATTACTGGCCACTGTGTATCCCAGCCAAAGGGAACTACTAAGAAAATACATTTCAAGCTTTTTCATTCTTCTTCATTAATTTATTTTGGAAAGATATCCATATAACCCCATACATTAATTATGTATTCTATTTCATAAAGACTAAATAAAAAGGTTTCTTTGCAACATGTATGGAGGTTATACGGAAAACTTTGCCTTGTCTTTTTATGTTGAAGGGCTCACTTTCCAAACAGCAGCTAGTAATAAAACCTAATTGAAATAATGAAATAGGCAAAGAACAGAAAGGGTTAGAAGCAGCCACGTGGATAAAATAAGACATAGGATTCAACATTTTATGGTCATTTAATATGCATGTCTCTTGCCCTTCAAATGTCCTATAAATCACTTACTATTATTTCATAACTGTGATCACTTCGGTGTTCCTTATCTTCAGCTCCTCTGGAAAAGCACTAAAAAGGGAACGTTCAACAGGAATTTTAGGGGAAGAAATTCTGTATGCGTGTGGTTGCGATTTCAACAATGTTGCTTTTTCTTCTTATGTAGATTTACTAGACTCATGCGGCTGTAATTTTTAACATTACTTTGAGACTAAGGGAGCAGCAGTTAAAGGATAAAATGGGTATTGCACATTTTATTTAAAATTAATTCTTTTGAAATACTTTGTGTTTTGTGTTGAACTGGAAAAGGCGCAGAACGTTGCAGTAGGAGGGAAATCAAACCTCTAAACATATATCCACTGTAGGCCTGCACTGCCGGCATCTTATAAAAGGTTCTTTAACAATTCCACGACACACCAAGCATTCACGACTGTCGTCACACACTAAATGGTTCTCTGAAATGAAGTGAAATGTCGATTAACAAATCAAAAAACACATAGCACTGATCAATAACGTTAACACAAACCTTCGACAAGAACTGCCATTTTAAGATCCGCGCGTTTTGTGGCAACATTGGAGACTGAGGTTTAGTTCTCAGCCTTCTCGCTAATGTGGCGGGGTCGGGGAGACTGGGGCTTCCTATAAAGAGGAAACCCAAGAAAAAGAATGTAACGGAAATGTGCAAAGAAGACAGTTTCAGGGAGGAAGACTGGGATAGAGAAATTTCAAGTTTAGTCAGTAAGACAGCTATGAGCGTATAGGTACCCCAAGACCTTTCTGGATTTCTTTGCCCCAGCGAAATATGAAAACTCCTTTCTCCGCCTTTTGGTTGCACCGTGATCGAGTTCAAAGGATAATGGATGCACACATACTCAATGAAAGAAAAGGAAAATTTTCAAAATTGCAAGATAAAGGAAAAACATGATCGGTGACTTAAGCTTTGCAAAAATACTCCGAAGCGCTAGGCTTCAATGCAAAATTGGCACAGTAAAATAAAATATATCCAAGTCCGCAAATAATGAAAAGCGCTTTCACTCAAACTTTTTGTTCCTCTATGCAAGGATCAAACTTAATCAAACGCTTTGGAAACATGTAGAGATTTATAGCTAATTATGACAGGAATTTAGGAACCATGCAGTGCGGGTAAATTTCGGCAGCCCCGTCATATACAGCTTTCCTTAACATACTCCTTGCTTTAATTATTCACCCTATATTTGTAAATAATTTTTTTAGTTTAGTCGATCTCTTCACGTTGGAATCAAATCTTCTTTTGATAATGTTGACATGTCGTCTCCGAAACGTCATATTTTAATAGCATAGCTTTTTATTTTTCAATGAAATTTCAAAAAAAAATAAGAATAATTGCAATAACTTCTTGAAATTGATAGAAATAATTAACAGAATTGACGCTACCCACCCAGATCAGCTAATGCTGAATATCATTCTTAATGTGCTCCTGTTTTAATTAAAATATCTAATAATTAAACAAAGAAGATGATAAGCGCTAGCCCTTCTACGCATTGCCAGATTACTTTTTGTAAGATATGTCTTGGCGGCTTAGCGAGAAGAATCATGAGGTTTAAAATTCAGTCATAAACTTGGAGTTATTTTGTATGTAATGAACGTTCCAAGTCAGTAATAGCAATAAAAGAAGACAAGAGAGAAGATGTTAGGTGCTATGATTTTCGTCTCGCACTGAATTCCGTCTACTTCCCAGTGTTCGCCTCAATGTGTTTATTACTTGATTCAATCGTTGGCTGAGAACTCCAAGAAACGGCCGTTCCCGTGAGGCCTAAAAAAAAAATGCATAAAATGAAGTATTAAAGAAACTCCGATACAAAATTTTAATTTGAAGATGAAGTTGAGCTCGGTAACCCGAAACAGTTCGGGAAAATGAGCCCGCACTCCTTCCTCGTAGTTCCCTCTCGGGCCTTCTCAGAAGGATCACAGAGCGCATCAGAGAGACGACGAAAATAAAGCAAACTTGAAGGCTAAAGCAAGTCCCTTTAGAAATTCGAGGGGTTACAGAAGTCCCGGAGGATTCCTGTCGTGTGAAATTGGGTAAAGATCCTCTCAAAATGAAGACGGGTGTCCGGAAACACCATCTGTGTTTGACGGTGTGTTTTGATTCACCCACCCTTGGTAACCCTTCTTCTTCTGTCTTATTCTCTCGTAATCATAACACGCATCAAGATAGGATGGAATGCATTGTTTTCACTGTTTTAAATTGAAAAGGATATCTTGTATGAAGCCAGAAAGCACATAAAAGGTTTACCATACTGGTTAGAAGCAATGGTACATAAAATAGTGTCGCTCTCCTTCCCACCCCCCTCCCTTCCTTACCCTCCCCTCCCTCTCAAAGCTTAGAAATCTATATCGAGAATACCCCTTACTATTTTGATTCTTTCTTCCAGAAGTTTTCGCTTGGAAATTTCTCTCTGCAGCTTGAAACGAAGAATGTGCACATTCTCGGAGAGTCTCTGTTCTTTGGCCTTAGATTCATGTCTTTCTTTCTGCAAAAGATCGCCAGTAGTAAATTAAACAAATTTATTTAGTCTGACCACATCGTTTGGACAAAACAGACAATAGGTCCAATCCGAGAATTAAGTTGGGGTATTTAATTTCTACCGGTATACTCAGTGCAAAGCCTAGATGATGATGAAAACAGCGGATATAATCATGTTACCGTTTTTGTTTTAAGCTTTTCATTCAGATGAAGAAACTTGCATTCCTCTGCTCGCAAAGCGTCCCTTGCTTTACATATTTCAATCTCCATATTCTTGATCGTATTTCTTTGGTTTTTGTTCTCTACAAACAAAACAGATTTTTCGCGTCTCGTCTTTTTCAGAAGCCGTGCTGCGAAAAGTCAAATCATAAAATATGAGAAGAAATAGCTCTACCACCGAATCAACTCCATGTGAAATAAATTATTCATAACTAACCAAATACATGAACTAACCACATAATTCAAACTTCTTTTCTATATTGAGAAGATCCCACTCAAATTCTTCACCCGATTGTGATTTTTCCTCCATGGCTGGAATCCTCACTAAAATTCATAACACAAATGAATCGTAAATTAATAATAACTTTTTAGAAGCAGACATTGATATTACTCCTTTAAATGAATACATTCATTGGTTATGTCGCGAGAAAACCTTCGCTTGTAAATTAGAATAATACAAAACATAACGGTAAATTCAATTAAACCCAAAAATGATTTTTGCCCACCTGTATGACCTGTTAAAGATCTTTTTAGGGTTGAATTACTTGCCATAATCTATCCACTTTTATGACGTCATCAATACGATCATCAGAAGCGCGCACTAGTCAGTGCCACTAGTCAGCCACTAGTGGCAGAAACTGCAAATCAGCGACAAGTGGCCAAAATGAATAAACTCAAAATCGGCCACTAGTAACAAAAATCTCAAATCAGTCACTAGTGACTAAAATCGAAAAACGATTACTATTGGCTAAAATCCCAAAACGGCTATTAGTGGTCAAATTCGCAAAAGGGCCACTAATGGCCAAAATCACAAATCGCCCCCTATTGGCAAAAATCCTATAAGGGCAACTGGCGGGAAAAATCCTAAAACAGCAACTAATGGCCAAAATTCCCAAACGGCCACTAGTCGCCAAAGTCCAAAAACGGCCACTATTGCCCACGATCCCAAAACGGCCACTAGTAGCAAAAACACAAAATCTGCTACTAGTGGCTAGAATCTCTAATCGGCCAATAGTGCCCAAAATCCCAAAATGGCCACTAGTGGCGAAGATCCCAAAACAGCCACTAGTGGCCAAAGTTGCAAAACGCACACTAATGGGCAAAGTCGCAAAAACGGGTACCAGTGGTCAAAATCGCAAAGTGGGCACTAGTGGACAAAATCGCAGAACGATGGATTTAACTGAGTGGTTGTGAGGGTGAAACGTGAGAGTGAATGGAATGCGGTCGGAATCTTCCTTATGCGACGTTTGTAGTGCTGAATGTCGATCAATAAGTTGGGCGCGGTGGTAACCCGCCTGAAGGACAGAAACAGGGCAACCACGTTTATCGAAAAACTGGCACATTGACTCTGATTTGTGTGGAAATCAGAGTCATCACTACATAAACGACGAAGTCTTAGAAACTGAGATAAAGGAATTGAATTCTTAACGTGAGATCGATGCGAAGACGAATATAACAAGTAATTATGCGAGTCTGTAGGTTTGTAATGCACACTAGTGCATAAACCGTTGCCTTCAATTGAAACTTTGATGTCTAAAAATGATAAAGAATCGTCAGAAATTTCCCAGGTATATTTCAGACCCGGATGAAAAGAATTTACTGCGGTTATGAATTGAGTGAGCTCCTCTCTGGTAGAGGAGGTAGCGCCGATACAGTCGTCGATGCAGCGACCGTAGAGTTCAGGTTTGGAGCCATTGTATTGGCTGAAAAATTGATGTTCGACAAAACCTACAAAAATATTGGCATAGCTAGGTCCCATTTTGGTGCCCATGGCTACACCATTGGTTTGTTTGAAGAAGTTGTTTCCGAATGAAAAACAATTGAGTGTGAGCACTAGTTCGGCTAAGCGCAGTAGTCTTTCAGATTTATCTTCCTTAACAGTACGTTGATTAAAAACCTTTTTAAGGGCCAGAAGGCCTTCGCCATTAGGAATGACAGTGTAAAGAGACGTAATATCCATGGTGAAAAGAAGTTTGTTTTGGCCAAGGAAATTAAAGTGTCAAAAAATTTGAAGAGCGTGTTGGCTGTCTTTAATCTATGATGGTAAAGTTTTGTTGATGGGAGCCATAATTTTGTCAAGATAGCTGGAGATAAGTTCGGTAGGGCAACTGCAAGCCGAGACAATGGGCCGGCCCGGGTTGTTAGGTTTGTGAAGGTCACGAATAGACTGTCATATATAAAAACAGTAATATTTACTTGATCTATTTATAATATCTAAACTTTATAAAAATAGGTATTTACAACTAAATTCACCTGTAATTATAGCTAGTATACATAAATTTACGTTCTTCCCTAAAATATATATGACCTATTTTCTATAAGTTAAAAGAGCACCGCTACTCAAGGAAGTAAAGCTCTAGTACTATAAAATTCATCACATCCTTACTGTGTCTGTCACGTTTGAAGAATGATTTCGTGCCACGCGGCCACGAAAATTGAGAAAAATTAGCGAATGGTAACAAGAGATTTTTGCAACAAAATCAGCATCAAATTCCAGCGTGGTATAAAGTGATCTACGGTTGCTTAACTAACCAATCAGAGTGCACGCATTAATTATGAGATAAAAAAAAAAAAGCGAAAAAGGAAGATCAGCTCATTTTGTTTCCCAAGTAATTATAAGAGGGAGGTCAAATCGCAGCTGAATAACAATATTATTTCTTGTAAGTACCGTCACACAAAAGTCGGTTAACTGACTACAGCTCAGAAATTCATTCCTCTGATTTCCTCAGTAGGTGCTACACGAACTATTGCTCTCAAGTTGTAAGAATTACATATCCTAACAGAAATTTTCAATTGAACGTCATAAGTGATCCGCCATAGCTTTAGTTATGACTTACTGCACTCCTTGACAACTCGCGCCACCCTCTCAACCAATCAAATCACGCAGAACAAAAACCAATCACAACTTCGCTACCCTAGTTTACCGCGCTTTTCATCGTTTTCTTCCCTCGTTTTCCCGCGCTTTTGACCGTTTGCTTGTGTTTTCTTTTTCTTCTCATTGGCTCCTAAAGATATCTATCTTTACTCTGATTGTCTTTTATGAAGTAAAGAGTAAAGAGCTTACAATTTGGAAAAAATTAACATTATCATGAAGGAGACAAAATTTTTTTCCTTCTCGCACTTTGCGCCTTTTCTTTGATCTTTTCCTTCCGGTCTTCTATCTGTTGCTCTAAAGAACCCATCACCAGTTCACTACAACGAAAAAAAAATACGAAAATTGGAAATATTTCTTAATTAAACTTTGTACAGAATTCAATACTTTTTCCACTACTTCCAAACCATTATGCAAATTTTCCTTTTCCGAACTCAAGATCAACTGGACAGAACAAGAGGCGGTTTTCAGGAGTTTTGCCCGAAGACTGAAAATTAAACGATCGAACTGTTTGAAATATTTCGCCTTGTAATTAACGTGAAATTCGGTCACCTTATTAAAAGTAAAGACAGAAATTGAGCATTCGATGTAGCTTGAAAATGAGACTTATTCCCGTCTCTTAAAGACTTTACCTTTTTCTAGGTCTAGAATACTTGAGTGTGTTTTATTTAGTTGGAGTACACTTGACAATGTTCGCACAATGAGTTGAATTCCTAGAAAAGTGGTCACAACAAAAAGACTTGCCACGTACCTGTAATTAATTTCCCCATCTTTGTTTCTGTCTAAACTCTCTATTAGTTTGTACAACTCTGTATAATTCATGTCAATTCCGGTTTCCTGTGGAGACAACCAAACATTAGTCAATGGAGCACTTTTGAACTGAGTATCATACAACCAAAACCAGAGCAATCATATTGGCCAATCAGAACGAACAAAGGAAAAACATCACCGGATAACTAATGAACACTCACAGTATCTTTATTCGTCAAGCGCAGGAAAGCGGAGGCTCGATTACCAGCTGCTGTTTGGGAACCAGAGACCGCGCTCCTCCCCAGGAGGAACGGAAAAGACTGGACCCGAAAGAGCGGTGGAAATCGAGCCTAAGGAAAGCGTGAATAGCAAAGTAGCTGGTTTTGCAGCTGATTGGTCAAAAGGGTAGCGTAAATTTTCATGACCATCCGAAGAGCGAAGTAAACCAAATCATTGATTACTTTCAACGTTCATTTGAAAATTTCTCTTGACAGCTCAGAAAAAATATTAAAATTGTTCCTAAGATTCCTTCTCCTCTCCGAATAACCTAGGATCGAAGTTATTACCGGTGTGAATGGGCTTGAACAAGACCACATTTGGACATACATGTACGACGCCAATTTCTTAGCCAATCTACACCTATAATTCATATTTGAAAATAAAGCAGACATGGATCTCACCTTTAATCCATCAGCGAACTCTTTTACAGTGATATTCATGCTTTTATCCTTATCCAGAGTATTGAAAAGATCCAACAGTCTCATTTGGTTAACCTCTATATAATTCTTTAGTATCTTCATGGGCGTTGGACGAGTCTTGGGTTTAAATGGTGCACCTCCTTTCCCTCCGTGTCTAATTTTCATGGGTCTAAGTTGCTGTACTTCCTTACATAACTCCACAAAGTCATTATTAACTGTGATGTCCTAAAAAGTGCATAAACTATGTAAGAACTTGCGGAGGCGAGGAATGTAATCACGATAGCCTCACTATAGCCACTATCACCATAATATCTACGAAAAGTCGCAAGTTTGTTTTATCTGGTGATCGGTATCTATTGACAAAACTGTCCTAATGCATGTTCTACCAAGAGACTAAATGTAGCCCTGGTTCTTACTCCATTGGCCTGTATAGCCTGCCTCGTAAATCAGACGGTGAAATTCCAACTCCATCCCACCTCGGTGTTTGTTTATTTGATCCGTGGGATAATTTTCTGATTCCCTTTAATTTAAGGAGGAATAGATGGTTAATTAAGACCCCTCTTATCTATGACTTTTTCGCGATGAGAAGTTGAGTCAAATTGTGAAATTAGAAATGTTTATTTTCTTGGAAAAGTTTTTCTTCGTGTCTCTAAGCCTCACCGTCAGCTCAACCTCAATCAGTTTCGATTCTGTGTTATTTTTCATGGCGTTCACAAGAGCATACGCTCCAGGACTTTGCATCGGGTTCTTTCCAATCTAAAACAAAATTTTACATATTTAAAAAACAGCTTTGTAAAAAAAAAAAAAAAAAGAAAAGGCAAAGCAATAAATATTTATGAATCATTGCAATAGAAACAGACGCAGTGGCAGGTGTTCACCAACTAAAATTGAACCATAAGAAAATTTTGTAGCTACCGTGTTTGAGTACTAATTCAAATGGGAATAGGTAATCTTTATTGTTGTGAAACTATAATAAACCAAGATAAGTGCCCACCTTCAACACCTGAAGACAAGTGTTGACCATTAAACCTTTGGCCAAATACACAGCACCTTCCGCTGTTATTCTGTTATTCCTGAATATGAAATGATTATAACATATCTTAGTTTCCCAAATAAAATTCTCCATATCAAAAATAGTTCAATTGATTCATAATAATTTATCGTTTGAAACAGTCTGCTCAATAGACCCTCCCATAAAGCTGGAAAATTGGAGGTAAAGGGACAAAGGTAAAATATACCTATCATTAATAACTACTACTTTCTGCACTTCAAGCAATCAACTTGCTTTTACCTTGAGTTCAGATTGGCCTCCTGGTGACATTTCCCGAGTTCTCGTTGGCTGTTGGGGTCGCGTTTGTTTATTTCTACGCTAAGCTATCTAAAAGCGCTCTCAATGATAGAGCTTATTTTTCACTTACGTCAGATCTAGCTCTCGTAACGTTGTGTTCACTTTTAAAGCTTCACCCATGGCTAACGCCCCATCATTTCCAAATCCATTCCATGCCAGGTTAAGAATTTTAAGAGTGAAATTCTCCTGCAACAGTGAAAACAAAACCCACATTCTATTCACACTTGGCTCTTAAACCCATTGGTAAATAACATAAAATCATGAACAATGCGACTAAAAATACAATCAGAAGAAATTTGTAGGGTATACTATGTTTACTTATTCCTCTTGCGCAAGTCTTTGACTCAGCTTGTTTTGACAGAGGAGAGTTTGTTCATTGCATTCTCCATCATTAAGAAAAATGATCAGAGGAAACGTTGAATGACTAATTTCTTAATCTATAGCTTTTGTATTTCCAACTAGCGTTAGAAGTGGAAACAAAAATCACTTCCATCAAACCTTCAAAGATAATGCCACAGCACAAGCTCCTTTATTTCTCAAGTGATTCCAGCTCAGTTCCAAATGGTCAATTTTATCATTTGCAACTAATGAAGAAAAGATTTACAGGGATACTGTGCTGAGTTACATAGACCAGTCAAATCATTAATATTGCCACAACCTTAAATCCAAGCAGAATCTGCATCTCATTGTTCTCAACAAATCACACTCAGACAGATCCTCACAGATGAAATGTAATTGAAGAAATTACAGAAAAACAAGCTTGAAACAAATCCAGGTTTTAACCAGTTCACACCCTCCCAAGATCTCAATTTACATACATACATACATACATACACTTTATTGATGCTCCCTAAGTGGGCTTTTCAGCTCAATAGGATAAAAAAAAAAAAAAAATTAAAAAAAAAAAAAAATTTACTATTATAGTAACTATCCTTAGTGTCTACCATATGATTCTTACTAAGTTAGTTTAGAGAATTTGGTATTGGATCAACTTATAATCCCCTAATTGATATTTTTCTGCAAATTCTCACCACTTGTCCGCTTGATAAGTATAGGTAATCGCATGGGGCCGAGTAAAGTTAAGGATTAATATCACGTGTGTTTTTGGAAGTTGCTGAAATTGCCCAAGTCTTGCAGCGACAAGGGCAATTTCTGCAACTTCCGAAAACACAAGTGATATTAATCCTTAATTTTACGAGGAACCATGTGATTACTTGTTTATAATATAAGGGGCAAAATGTTTTCTTACTGATCTCGCGCAAAACGGGATGCCATTTTTACAAAACAAACAGAAATTCTTTGCCTTGGCAGCCGTTGCTAAGCGATTTTCAGCCAATCATTTTCAAGTAATTTTGCCCAGGGCAATTACAAAAATTAAGAAAAAATGCCCTCTGTCTTGACCAATCACAATTCAGTAATTTTGCCCCTTATATGATAACATATTGATATTGTAAGGTCTGTAAGGAGAAATTCTGTCTTGGTCACTCATGGAATTTAGGGTTAACAAGGTTCAGATTTGTCTCTCTTGGATACTACCTTGTCACTTCAACCAACTGAGCTACATTACCAAATTTTAGGATTATTACTGATGATATAACTAAAGGAAAATACATTAAGATATTTACCTATTGCAGGGGCTAAATACTGGCCTCCTTTTTCTCCCAACTGGTTATGACTCAAGCTCAAATACTTCACTTTGGTATTAATCTTAAACATAGAAGAGAGAAAATTTACCCTTTTTAAAAGTCTTTTGAGTTGTGAAAGAAAAGAAATTAGTTTAAAATTTCACTAAGGTTTCCCCCTACCTTTATAGCTTCTGCCAGAATCTGAACAGCTCTGTCATCAAAACCATTGCCTAGAAGATAACGTTAACAGAAAAAAAAAAAAAAAACGTGAGATATTCCTGATTTGGAGTAAGTAACAGCTAATAGCACCCCCAACAGTAGTACAGGTAAATGGGGTTAGTTTCTAAAGAGACTGAGGAGCTTTACCCGTGGGGTGTATATATGCGTTACTGACCATGTGTGAGGTAAGGATGGATATTGGCCAAGTTCCTTTTTTGCGTTTTTGCATAAAAACACCAAAAAAAAGAATGAGGCTAATATCCAGCCACCTTGACCGAACAAGCTTGGTCAATCAATAAAGAATTTATAGCATGACAAAAAGATTTTGCTTTAAATTAGAATCAAGTGTGACTTGTTTATTCTGAGAGCCAAAAAAGAAAGCCAACCATGTTAGCAGCACAATAAACCCACAAGGGTTGTTTATGTTTTCTTTGTTTTGACTGTCTTCTGCTGCTTTTTGCAACTTCATTGCTGACCTGATCCACAAGTTACAAACTTTGTAAATCCTCTCCACACACTTTTTTTTCTTGCTTGAGATCAAAATCAGGCTATCCTGAGTTGGCAATCCTGAGCAGGCAAGATGGGCCTGTCTTGACTGCTTAGGTAGCCAATCAAAATGCAGGATTTGCTTCATATTGCCCACAGGCCCTGCCAGCCATATGATAAAACAAAGTTTAAAATTTGGGTTTATCACCTGAGTTGATGATGTAAACTGGCCACCCCAAAGAGTCACTAAAGCTGATGTTTCAAGCATTTAAACCCTTCACCAGAGCGAGTGGATAGTAAAGAGTAGCATGTATAGTACAGATATTTGTCTAAAATGCCTGGCAACTTTCTGTCATTTATACTTTTAATTAGCATCTAGTCTTTCTCAGCTTGAATCTTCTCCTGTGGACTCAACCCACCAATGGGTTGGCTCAAACAAATCTTGTCAGAAATCATTTCAACACTCACCATTTGCAACAAATCTGGTGATATTTGAATTGTGCAGTAAGATGTCTTTTATAGACTCTGCTCCATCTGTACCTAGTTTGTTTTCCGATAAATCCTTGAAGACAAAAATCATTAAAAAAACACTATTAAGATACGTTGATATATCTATGATTGTTACATGTTATAGGTGAGAGCAAATAATACTTGTCCAGAATCATTTAACAAGTGCTATCTGAAACATCCCTAAACATCCCTAAACTTCCACAAAAAAAGTCTGATCTGTTATAATGTCATACCAAGTCAGCAATGTAACAGTTTTCTCGCAGCATTTCAGCAATGTATCCAGCTCCCTCAGATCCAATCCAGTTATCTGCCAGGTTTAACTTGATAACTGATGTATTAGTCTGTTAAGTGAAATAAAAATTGATGTCAAACAAACAGCATGAGAGACCGAACACATCAAGTATACAACTGTACTTTCTAAAGTACCTGAGATGCTATTAAAGCTCAAAACATGAGTTTAAACACACTTTTTACCTATAATAAGATACTCAATTATTGTTTTGAATTATTTCATGAAAGTCACAGAAGACTTCTTCCATGTTTATATCTTAACACATTGAAAGGGGAATAGTAAATACATTTCACTCCCCCCCCCTCCTCTTAGTTAGATAAAGCAATGTTCATGGGTCTGGCACAAGATGACCAGAAAAGTTCAACAGGATACCCACCACTAAAGCTACAGCTATTGCCTTGGCACCCATTGGTCCTAAGCCATGATGCTTGATGTCAATGTCAGCTTGTTGCAAGTTTCGATGGAAATATGATGCTGGGATGACGCCAGACTCCCTGCAAGCTTGGAGATATGTTACTCTTCCAGTTACATCATACTCTTCTTTGCCTTCTAAAATAATAAATAAAGGAAAACAAAACCTTACACAAATTATAGAGATTATATTAAAAAAAATTATTTGAAGCTCACAATTTATGTAAAAAGTGAACTTTTTCAAATTAATGTCAGTATCAGAGCAACTGCACACCCACCCCTCCCCTATGCAAACAACAGTCAACTCATAACAATTTAGGGTTAATTTTGGGTTCAGGGAGGGGTGGGTGCCAAGTTCCTGAAATTGATTCACTTTTTCTATAAATATTTTTTTGGACTTTTCTATGATAGAAGTCACTGTATGTTACATATTTTGTGGGATAACACCACAATGACTGAAAAAAAATGTTTTTGGTAAAAAACGTGTATGTTAAAATTTTTCAGCTAATCCGTGAACACTGTAGTTAGAAACAAAAAAAATTTTTAATAATACACGCCCTTTCTTAACAATTCATGCATAGACGTTCTGAATCGCCATGTCTGAGAAAAAGTCACGGAATTTCATCTCATTGAAATTCGAATAGTTATCCATTTAATTTTACGAAAAAAGAGGCCTTGCTTAAACGTCTAATTCATCAGTTTCTAAACAAAACTTATTGTGCCACGATCACAAATTTCTTCCCTCAAATGACAAACATATTCGTGAGAATAACACTCATATATATTCACTTCTTGTTAAAGTAGTAAGCGTATCGTTCTTAAATTTGCATGTTATTACACGCAAAAATCTTCCAAAACGTAAGGCAAAATTTAATTCAAAAGAGAAAATAAAACAAAACAAAACAAAACCTTGAAAAAAAGTTCTACACGGAATCTGTTTAATAGCCAGGATTTATCCTCGAGGGACTGAGATAATTTGATGTAGACATCCTGAAACATCCCTTCCAATACAACATCTGAGGAACATATTTTAAAAACTCCGCCGAGACCCAATGCAATATCAAAACTGCTAGGATAAAAACACCTGCTAGGATATTACTGACAGATTACTTACAATACTGTTAAATAAATAAACGGTCAAAAAGTGAAACCATTTCAGCGCATCTGTTTATGAACTTGCAACTTCAAAGTAATGAGCGTTTCGTTCTGAGAATTACTCGTAAATGATTCATAGGTTTTAATTAGCCATTTCTTTTCGTTTCAATTTCATCATTTATTAATCAAACCTTAAATACTTTAGCTTTGACGACAAAAGATCTCTACCGTTCTTAAAAATTTATCATACCTTCGATCTCCAGGTCAGTGTCAAATCCTTCATCGTCTTCCTTATCTTGAGCACTGCGAAAGAAATCATCTCCTTCGGGTGATAAAGACCCTGTGGACTCCCTTCGTAAAATACCAGTCGGAGGGCTGAGCGCAGCCTATAATTAAGCAAAAAATTTTCAATTTTTAGTGTCTCAAAACCTCAAAAAGCTGCAAAGAGGTAACTTCAATTCGAACGCGCGCGTTTACCTTGCGGAAACCAAAGGGCGAACTAGTAGCACTAGCACGGCTAAGAATAACAGAATCTTTTTCTGAAGGCGAGCGGATCGGTGTAGAAATCCTTTCCGATCCTTCTTCCATAATTTATGGTGCAGACACTCCACTAAAGTCATAAACATTGGTAGTTATACATTCTCCTTGAAGCGGTTGAAAGCGTCTTCGGCCGTAAAGGCCTCGGCTACATGGACTGTTCATTTTACTCCCTGTTGCCATAACAACTAATCGAAGTATTATCTGATGCTATTAGATTCTCCCAAGGGAGCTTTTTTAAGTCAATTCACGGGCAAGTGATAAACGGATCGAATGAAACTCATTGAGAAAACTGTGCAGAAGACTTAAAGAATAATAAAGGACCGTTTTTAATTTGCTTCCGTGAAACTTCAGCGAACCGATCTGAGATGTTTTGGTCCCAGAAGTTAAGAGAGAATTTTTAAGACAATCTCAGGTGAGAATAGCTATATTTAGAAAGAACGCTCTAATAGAAGCGTTGCGATAATTGTCCCAAAGTGCAGGCTATATTTTGAAGTTACTAAACTCAATTAAAAATTCTAACAAGTAACGCAACAAGTTAACTTTACTGAGAGAAGATTGGGAACAAGTTGACTAGAACAATGATACCTGGGAAGGCAACGTCATGATGAGCCAATTGGAGGCCGACTTTGCATCATAATTCGACGCCATTTTGTGTTATTCAATAAATTACATAAGTTGTATACTGTTTTATAAAATTTGAAGCTCAAGATTCCTTAAAAATGCCTCGTGGTGGAAGACGATCTAGTGGTCGATCATCTCCTATGTTTGGCAAGCCATCAGCGCCGCCTCGAGCACCTCCGCGGCCAGTTTCTAGTGTCCCAGCCACTAGACCTGCTTCCAGCGTGGCTCAACCGGTTTCACCACAACAGCCTGGACTGTTTGGACAAATGGCATCTACTGCTGCTGGTGTTGCGATTGGATCTACTGTGGTATAGAATGAATGCTAGTGTACTTAAAAGAGTTTTCTGAATTTGCATAGTAATAATTTCTACCAAAACTTCTTTACTGTATGTACCTGATCAATATAACTTCAAAATCAGAATTTCATAATTTTAGAAAAGATTACAAACTAATGGTTTTCATCATATCAAAAAATAGATTCTAAATTGCCATAGGTCTGTACAGTAAAAGATCATAAAGACAACAAAATCTAGCAAGAACTTCAGGGTCACAATTGGCAGTGCCTTGTGCCATTTCTTTGTTCTTATCACATGTTGACATCATCTGTGTAGTAATGCGGAACAGACTCACAGCAACATTGAATTTATTTGTTCAGTACCTGATATTGCCATTGTGGGACTTGCTTAGTCCTGGAAACCATCTCTGTTCTTTGGTATGGGAATGATTGAATATTCTTGATCAGAACTAGCATGAAATACACCGAATCAAAATATGGCGTCCAATTTGAATTGTCATTGTTCTGGACTGACTAGCCTCTTACACATGTGATAATCCTTTTGTGTTTCCACGTCAAGACGAGGCTAGTAAGTCCAAAACAATGGTAATTCAAATTGGACGCCATATTTTGATTCGGTGAATGTGTTGTCACTTTAAATAATTTGTGAAAATAGTAACACTTAACTTTTGTTATAAGCTGTATGGCCAATGAGTCCTAGCAATTAACTTCTTGCTTGGGTCTGATCTTCAACTGCAGCAACCAAATTTTGATCCATGATGAATTAAGTAAATTATACAAAAAGTACCTTGCCTATGTCTTTAGGGTCATGCTGTCAGTGGTGCCCTGTTTGGTGGCCATGGTGGTGGATCAGAGCAACCAGCTGGGTATCAACAAGAGATGTCTGCAGCGCCATACCAGAGTTATTCTAACCCACAACAGCAGGGTTTGGGGGGTCCTTGTCAGTATGAATTGCAGCAATTTGTGGAGTGCGCACAGAACCAGGGAGACATAACACTGTGCCAGGGATTTAATGAAGTGCTTAGGGAATGCAAACTGAGAAATGGTGAGGAGTGTTCAGTCTAACTTACTTCTTACATGTGGGATGACATTGTTAGTATAGATTTGTTGTTTATTTGATCAAGGTAGCTTCAGAGGGTTTTGTTATTTTTAAACACCAAATCTTTGTTAGATCATGGCTTCTGACATGGTTTCTGACAAACAACTTTTTACTGTTTTACTTTTCCTTTCATCATATCATGTTATAATTTGTAGTCAACTCTAGTTCTAGACACTTTTTGCCTGGGAGCTCAAAGTTCAAAGATGTCTAAACAATTTTTTTGGCACTTCTTTCAGGTCTTTCCTGAGAACAAAATCATTGCTGTGGATTCTTGTGCAGCTGCCCAGATGTTAAGACAAGCAAGATTCAATGCTTTGATCACTGGCTTTTTTAAATAACACAGCTTTTTCGGTGATAACAGGTGCTTGGATACTTGTAAATGGTGTTTGCACTTGGCTATTTGCTTGAACTAAGGAATCCTTGTTGTTACATGAAAGAATCACAATTTAATTGCAGAATTTGAAATAAAAGGTGTTTGCACATTATCTGGTTTGCACTCTGATTATGGAGGGGTGGTCTGAGATTTGTATGAAGATCCACACATGTGTGACTTTCTGTATGTGACACTGCAAAGATTTTAAAAATTCAGACTGTTGAGAGTGCATATTATAAATACCTGTTGGTTTGGCCAGTCATGTTTTCCCACATAGTTTGTTCATTTAGTGTAGAAAGCTATGTTTGATTTTTAAGTCCTTGTCAATTGTCTTGTGTTTGATGACAGCAGATGTATTGGTAAAAAAAAAAAGGTAAACATCATGCGCACCAAAGAGCCTAATAAACGCGAAACGTGCCTTTGAAATATTTTCATATCTCGCCTTTTCTTGACTTAGTTTTATATGCACAATTTAACTTCATTCTCACGATTGTGGGGAAGAAGCTGTTGATGACCTCTACTTCATGAGATAAGCATGCCTGGTCGGAAAATAGTGTAGACGCGAGCGAAAAAGTATGATGGAGCCTGACGTGGATTCCAACGCACAAGCGAGCAGAAGACAGTTACACGCACTTCCGTGTTGATATGCTATCATTGCAGTTGATAAGGCTAGTACACTTCTCTGTATTCACTCATTCAAACATGATCCCGTCACCGGCTGCCAATTACTTATCCGTAACTGTGAAGCGTTGTTCATCAGTGGCTCTTTACCGGTTTGTCTGGAGGTAATTAAATGCGTTTGATCTTATTTTCATAATTTCATTGAAAGAAAAACTTCCAAAAGTTACAGCAATGAAGAACTCAATCCTTAAATAAAGTTGTGCCCCTGAAATGTCACGGTACGTAACCCGTTGAAATCTTAAATTGATTCTCAGCGCAATAGAGTATCCTTGCAGCAGTCTCCCAGGTGGCTACCATTTTATTTCCGTTTCGTTATTTTCATTTCCGGTTGTTTCGTTACGTAAGTTATTCCCACGTGCTTTTAGATATTGAAGTCACTTGTTACGTGTGTTGTAGTCCTGGTATGGGTCGCTGTATTCCCAATCAGGGTAAAACAGTTCTTTAACGTGCTTAAGGCACGTTTTTTATTGAAATAAGCTGCAAAGGTAACACTCCTATGACTCTTTAAAACAGTTGAACCAATTCGAGAGTTCTCTTTGAAGATGAAGAGTCGATATATTAAGAGAATTAAATCCGTACTCGCATGGAATGACTTTCGTTTAGGACGTCATAGTTCACTTACTACAGCAGTCAACGTCACCAATGAAACGTCATTAATTGATTCCCGGAGCATCCTCGAAATTTTCTTCCGGATCATTCTTACCTTGGTGTGAAATTGTTTCCGTTATATCCGTGCAAGATATTTAGAAGTAATGCCTCGAGCTAAAAGACGATCATCCCAAGACTCGTCAAAGCAGAACAGTACGATGCCTGAAAAAAGATCTCCTAATATGGTCCAACCAGAACCAAAAGCTCTTGGACTGTTTGGGCAAATGGCTTCCACAGCTGCAGGTGTAGCAGTCGGCTCGGTTGTGGTAAGGCGCGTCGCTCAGCCAATCCCATTGGATAGTTACCCCTGGACCCTCAGATTGTAGCTTAGACTACCTTCGGCTTTTGCTAGAACCACAGTTATTGATTCCTTGTGCGCCTAAGCTAGCTTCTCGTTTAATTTCCACTTCCCTCTCAGCGAGAATGTTTTTTTTTTTAATTAAGACTGCTTAAGTACGCTTACGAATTAGATATTATCGCAGCCTTAGCACCATCTGATGCAGGGGCAAAAAGTAAGTTGTTAGTTAACAAAGCAACAAAATCTCGTAACGTTATATATCAGCAAACTGGTTGATGACATTTCTTTTCACCGAATCGCAATAAATAATTATCATATGATTATAGAGGAAACTCTCATTTCTCTTCATTTTTTACTCCTGCATGTTTTGAATTTTCAATGCGGAACAAGAAAAAGAATCATCGAAAACGTGGATCTCCAAAACCAACTACTTGTAGATTGATATAAATAAGAGAAAATCCTAGCCTTTGGCATCTGAATGTGCAACCAGCTGTGGGGAGAAACAGAGGAAGAGAAGGAGGAAGAGCTACAGTAGAGAGGTCTTTGAATTCTCATTCTCGCTCATTTTTGTCCAGGGTAATGCCGCAAGTGAAGCTCTACTTGGAGGAAGAGGGAGCACAGAATCAAAGCAACAGGACTATGATCTTCAGCAGCAGAATCATGAGCCATGCCGGCACGAACTACAACGGTTTGTGGAGTGTGCGCAAAACCAATCAGAGGTTACTTTGCGTAAAGACTTCAGTGAGGCCCTCAAGCAGTGCAAACAGGCGAATAGTGAGTGTTGTAGCATTCTCCGGGCATTCGGTTAATAAAACGAAGCGCAACAGTAAAAGAAAAGGAAAGAGAGGAAGGCTTGGGTCGAGCATAGTTAATCGATTAACTATGGGTCGAGTTGGGTCCTTCTTTACCCAACCCGACCCAAGCCTCTCTCGAGTTTTCACTCCCCCGCTACTACTGCGCTGATTGTTTCTTCGTTCCGTGTTCAGTTATAATCTGTCTGTTCTATGAAGGACCTATGTCCTATCATGCAGAGAAAGGTTACACTTGTAAAGAAAAATGCACTGGAATTGCTCAACATCAAAGGGGAGAATATTAAAAATTCCTCTAAAAAGAAGGCTTTTGAAAAATGTTTTCTTATGATAGGGTATGGAACTCAGTGTGTTTTCTGGTGTGACATAGGGTATAGTTTAAATTTTTTGAGTTTGTAATGGGTTTATTTTATCCTCTAGATTTTTCCTGAGGAAACCATGGACATGTATAATGGCTTTCAGCAAAAACAAGGTTCAACAAGAAAACAACAGCTTTTGGAATCTTCCTGTGTCTCTTCGCCGCTTCACTAACAAAATAAACATTGATGTTTCACGGTTTCGGCTTGCTCTTTTCTCTGGAAAGCCGAAAGAGAATAATGTGAGAGACGTAAATATTCGCATAACTTATTCTTGAGTGAGATAGAGAATTCAACACTTTTCCGAGATTTTTTAGACTCTAGTCCATACAGCTGATACAAGAAAAGCGCACGAAGAGCGAGGTTCCGATCTGAGAAGTAATGTGATTCGATTATGTAATCCGACAAAAGAAAGGTACAAATCGCGTGCAATATCCTATTTTCAACCACAAAATATTAGCGACAGTGGAATTTTTCGAAAATTTAAAAAAGTCTTTAAAAGGTTCTATTTTTAATGATGCGAAATAAACGATCGTTCTGAACAAGGAAAAAACTCTTCTGTACCGAGTAGGTTGCCACATGCAAAATTGAGGTTTTGCGTAAAAATTTCCGTTTCATGTTTGGCTGCGTCTGTCTGACCTAAAACCTTCCCCCATCGCCACTGCAATAGACCATGATGGTGTTAATAGATTCCTCTGAGATGATACGAAGAATGCGGTAAGTGTATTCTTTGATGTTGGACTCGGAGGTGAAGACCTTTTCGTCGAGCATTGGCTCCTGTAATCAGTTGATGCTTAGATGTCAGGAAGTTAATTGGTGGCTTTGACTTGGCTTTGAATTAAACCTCTTGGCAGGGACGGTAGAGCCTATTTTCAATTGAGGGGGGCTGGAGGAGGCTTAAAAATAAACGCTGGGTGTGCGAGTGTGAGAAGGTCTGAAGCTTTCGTTCCGTTACAAAACGTTGAAATATACAGGTTCAGAAATGGTATTTTCAACATTCTCCACTTCATACTTTTATGTCGAAAAGTTTCCGAAAGGTTTTGCATAAGGCTGTAGCTTTTTAAAATTTTTATTTCTCTAGCATCTATGTTAATCGCGTGAGTTTAGTGTTCCTCGACATAAAGCAATTCATATGTTCCTAATGGCATAGACGCATCACACCACTGACAGTTGACTATTCCAACACCACTTGCAGAACTTGAATGAACCCCACTTCCGTCCAAGCGAATGTAACAATGGGGAAATGAGTAGCAACCATTACTCTCTCGTTTAAGGAAAAATATTTCGTAACTGTGTGCAGTGAACTGACAATTTACTTGATCGCCCCCATCCGTGTCAAAATGGCTCATTCCCTGGCTGTCCAAGCGAATGAAAACACTACTGAATAGGAAACTCTGTATCGCAACCTTGAGGTCAGTTTCCGAAGCCAGCGACGGAGGCACCTCGACAGGAACAATGTAGAATTTCTCATGTCCCTGGTGGTTTGTACTGGCAGTTAACAGTTCCACCTCCGTGGCCAACCATTCTGTGACTCCTGAGCCGTCACAGCAAAGGTACACGTCAGGGAATGCAAAAGACCGAATGGTGCTCAACTTCAGGCATTTCATGAATTTCAGAAAGCGGTATATCATCTCAGTCGTAAATCGCGGAGCAGAGTTGGGGCAGCCGCCACAACTGTGAACGCCGAGGACGGTCCAATATCCATTGTGCCATGTGTAAACTGGGTTTCCACTTTGCCCACCCATCGTATCATTGAAGTAAATATTTTGCTGCTGGTATTCTGGCTTTTCACGTGACGTCACAGATTATGCAAATTTGTTGATCCGCCATGTTGGCGTCCCTCGAAGATTCCTTAATTTGCTGATAATCTTGCGACCTCGCAATGGATTCTGAACTCGAATCTGTTCCACATAGTTCCTCGCGGCTTGTCTCTCAGATACCCACAGTTTGTTACGATCGCTCACAATCCACTTGTATGGAGATGAAGTCACTGGATCTACCTACACGCGTTCATCTCTTCCTCAAACACTCTCTGCGTGAGAAGTACTTCTAACTGCAGGCAACGTCATCATCCTAGCTTGATGTCTGAGCAGAACTGAGAGCTAAGGATGGGCCAATACCGATACCAAATATTCGATACCAGCGATATCGAGGTCGGATCGAAAGATATCGATAATAGCGAAGAGTATCGATTCTTTCGATACTGCACGTGACCTATCCGCGCTGCAATCTCCCGCGACTAACCGCTGACAAGTAGCCGAAAAGACTTCGGGCTCGAGATCGTGTATGTGCGCAATTGTGTGCAATGTTGGACTGTCACAGTGAACCGGTCAAAGTGGCGGTTTCTTCCATTCCCTAGTTCATTTAATGGAACTAACATGAAAGTGTATAAAAAATAAAAAAATCTTGTAAGTTACAATTCTCCTTTTAGGAAAAAATATCACTAACCGAAACTACATAATTATATGGCTATGAATAATAAAATTATAATGTGCTCTTTAGGTAGTCTATATCTTACTTTAAGTCTCTTGACAAGGC